ATTTAAAAGCAGAGGTAATATACGGAACAAATGACGGATATATATATATATATGCATATAGAGAATGAAAAGGAAGTTGTCCCATGTTTGTCGAGATGCTCAGGAGTATAGATTGAAAAAAAAAAAATAGTTATTAATTTTAGGAGTATGGAAACACGGCAAGTTGTAATAAATATCGGCAAGACATAGTAGAATATAAATGATTCAAAAATAACTAAATACTCATTTGGACAACTTTGTTTATATCTGAACCCTCTTATTATAGACGACTGATTAGATATAATTAGAAATTGCATTTCGCCATTCGAAGAAATTGACGGTGGGCAGTTGTTTAGTCGTTATTGTTCGGGTACAAGTTTAACGTTGTTTGAAATTTTTTTTTATAGCGACAAAAACGCGACACTAACCCGTAGCTCAAATTTTATTGACGAGTCACGGCACGGCACGACACGACACTAACTAACGGTCAATCCTTGAAAATTCGAACGTGTTAATTACTTAATCATGCTATTGGATTTTTAAATGCGAAGCGACATATTTAATTATTAGTCCCCAGAAGATGTTAAGCCTGACTGTAACATCATTGCGGCGCGTAGCTAAATGAATCTGCCAAAAGCCCAAAACTAAATCCAGTAAATCTAACAAAATCCAACTAATTAGCATAACAAAGGAATGATGGGCTGTAATCACGATATGTGAGAAAATATCTCTAATTAAGTAAAATTTCCACTTCAACATCGTCGACAGAGTGCAAGAGAATCGCTGAGCACGAGAATCCCTTAACTTGTTTGTCTCAATTTCCTCCCAATTTCAAACCAGACTGTGACATGGCAGAGCTTTAAGGTTGCTTCTGGATTAGGCTCTCAATCATTTATGAATCTACTTTTGATCAGTCACTCATTTCCAAATACGAATCCGTATAAAGATTTTGCCTCTCCTTTTCCGATTGGAATAAGGATGCCGTCTTTTTTTATTTTCATGTGACCAACGCTGGATTTTGGTACCTTAAAGGCAATTGTCACTTTCCAGCATGTGCCCTTGCCGAGCACCCTTATTTCTGGCATCTCAGGCTCGCCGATAATACATATCAAATTAAAACACCATGACAATGATGCACTCATTTAATCATAACTCAACCTAAATATTTCAAAATTTAATAAAGCACGTACTGCGGAGAAAATATTATAAGTGGAACGTTGATTACCAAGAGTTCTTATACAGGAGGTGGGTCAAATTCTCACAAGTAATTACATACTACTATATATGTTTCAGTCTTTGAATTTAAAAATTGAAATATTAGTTGCAAAGTTTTCATGTGTCAGTGTCAAATTTTGGAAGCTTGTGCAGTGTGAAATTTATTCTTACAGTAGTTAAATTCTTTGTTATCAGTTACAAAATTTTCACACGCCAGTGTCAGATTCTGAAAAGTCAAGGTGAAATTGCGGTGCGTGCATATATATTCGCTAAACAGGTTATTTCTTTCGATCCTGATTATGATTGTACTGATGCATATATTAGTCCAAAGTGTTATTAGCCCCATAATCCAAGAATGAAATAATACAGTGAAAAATAATAACCATTTGAAGTGGTCTGATTTCTTTTATTGCAAAATATGAATGGTTCAAAATTTTCAAGATGTGTGTGTATTTTGTTCTTTATTCTTTAAACTGTTCGGGGAGTAGCAACGATTTGCACAATGTAAATTTTATATTATTTTTTATCTTAATAATTTTAGAGCTAAAATACGCATGAAGTGAAGTAAAAATAAAATATCCCTGTCCCGGTAGTCCTTTTTCACGCGCAATTTAAAGCATAATTCAAGTCAAATGAAGAGATAAATCATTCCCCGAAGCAAAAAAAATATTATGACCCATTTTATGCGGAGAAGACCTGTGATTTTATTTCGGTCAATTAATTTCTCTGGCCATTTTATATTCGAGCGGTTGAGATTTTTATAACTAAGCTGTAGCTGGGAAATTAAAGCTTGGATTATAAAAGTGTATGGAGAAAGCTCCAGTATTCTTCGTCGGCACAAGTGTGCGGCAAGACTCTGTTATTGGCATAAATTTGATCAGAGGTATATACCTTTACAAAGTACTCCTCCGGTCCTTATTATAAGACCCAATTTGACTTTTTATTTGGTCCTAATTATAAGACCCAATCCATTTTGTCTCTTATATTTATGCATTTTTTTTCAAGATAATCCTTCTAATAATGATAGTTTTAGTCAATATACTCCTCCGGTCCTAATTATAAGACCCAATTGACTTATTTGAGGAGATTAAGGAAGTAAGTTAAGTTGATTATTTATAATAAATAAGTGTTGTCATTCCTAAAATATCCTTACTAATTAAGTATATTGGCTAAAACTATCATTATTAGAAGGATTATCTTGGAAAAAAATGCATAAATATAAGAGACAAAATGGATTGGGTCTTATAATTAGGACCAAATAAAAAGTCAAATTGGGTCTTATAATAAGGACCGGAGGAGTACTTAATTAGCAAGGATATTTTAGGAATGACAACACTTATTTATTATAAATAACCAACTTAACTTACTTCCTTAATTTCCTCAAATAAGTCAATTGGGTCTTATAATTAGGACCGGAGGAGTATTAATAATTTAGGTAGGTAACTTCTAAACTTATAAGTCCCATTTTTCAATTGGACTTTATCACACGTGATGCATATCCTTGCATCATCACTAACGTCTTTGGTGGCTGTGATTTCACACAGTACCAGACCTCGTTTAACAATCAGGATTTTGTAATCGCCTTTATGGTATCAGCTTATGAATTAATATGCTTCTTATTATAAGTCATTTTTAATTCATTCTTACATATTAAGAAATGCACTAAATCAGTATTATAATTCTTTAAATTTGATCTTATTAAATTTTTATTCTTCTCTCTACGCAAAACACTCTCATCTCTCTATATATCATTTTTCTCATTCAAACAAAAACTGAATAAAAGTAAAATTGAAAAATATGACGACGAACGATAAATAAACTTTCTTTCTACAAATGATAAATTTAAATGGACAGCCCCAAACTGATAAGCTTCTAGAATCTAGGAAGAAATTAGCATCGAATATATATGCGTGGCGCTGACTTAACTGGAGCATGACCAATTGGCCGTCGTCTTATGTTTTATTGTTGTTTAACGCGTATCAGATGATGACTTGCTCGCTTTCCTGGAAGCTTCCAGGGCGTCAACTCGACTTCATCTCTGCGCCATCACAACACAAGAAATTTTCTAGGAAAACCACACTAGAAATTCATGTATAGAAGTCGGCATTTAAATTATGTGAGCAGTATATGAGCAAGTTTATAACTTTATATTAATGGGCTCACAAGTCGTTCTGCCGCAGACATGTATTGAAGTCTTAATGGGCACCTCATCAGGGACTTTGTTTATTAATGTAATGACTTGAATTTAGTTAGATTCAATTGACTAGCCTTGTTTTGGCGATTGATTTCAGGTGTTGGCATTAAGAATATTTAATTTGCTCATCTTTCAGTTGACTAGCCTTGTTATAGGGAATAATTAACTATAAGCTTCATAAAAGGAAAATTCCTGATACCTACCGGAACCTCTTCGCATAGATTTGCCCGATTGATTTGCTAATCCTCCCCCAGCATGATATTATGCTCTTTTCCTCTGTACAAAAGCCCCAGGCATCCAAGAACTAGTTAATTAAGAACGCTTAATTTTGAAAGAACCAAGTTACCACTGATCTTTGATAATACGCAATCAAGCTTCTGGAATTCCTTAAAAAAGACAGGAAAAATATTTAAAATTCTTATTCCCTCAGATTCAAATGGACATCAATTACACCGCACACTTTAGCTTTCCACCGTACTACTCGATCCTTATCATGATCATAAGATTTATTTTTAGTTTGTAAATAAAATCTTATAATTAGGATAATAGATAATAGTTGACTTGATTCATATTTTCTTTGGGGCCACGTGGTCCCCTAAGTCTCCCTGCACCGTCTTTTCCTGCGATTGCGTGCTATTTTTGTACTTCATTAGAACAGAGCTACAACAATTAGCAGCAGACCAAGTACTAAACGACAACCGAGAAAGGTATAATTGTTAATGATGACATTATTCATTTGATAAATTTCTATTAATTTACTATTAAAGTTCAAGGGAAAAAACGGTGCCGTCATCTGGAAGTTACCACGAATTTTCTATCTGGGGGCTGTGCTCCCGAGAATCAGTTAATTTAGTTAAGGAGAAAGTAATTTTCTTTTTGCCGCCAAGCAGAGAGTAATAACTGAAGTTGGGGTAAGAAAAGAAACAAAAGCATAATAAAAGCCTCCAACATTATACGGCCTTGACATTGGTTCAATGTTTTTTAACCGATTCGTTATATATGTTCTTCCATTTTTCACGTCTCTCTCTCCTCTCTGTTTTTTTTTCCTTTTTAACTTCTGCTTGAAATCACTCTCCTTCAAATGAAAAACCGATCCTTGCGACGCACGCCAGCTACAGTCCTCTTCTTCTTCTCGCTTATAAAGGTCACTATCACTCTCCTTTTACGCTTCACTCCAATCACAACACTCTCAATCTGCATCTTTCTTTCTCAACTTGGATTCTCTGGAATTGCTCTGTTCCTTCCCTTTGTCCACCAACCAGCTCAAATGGAGATTCCAGAAGCAAATTCGACGGCCAGAATTCCACAAACTCTCCCGCTGAGAAGGGGGCAAGTCAAGATCAGGGTTCTCAAGACCATCTTCAATTCCGTGGTGGCGTTGGCGTGTTCTTCCGGCGGCTCTGCTCGCCCGAATAACCACATAGACCGCCCTCCGGCGAGCTCCTCATCTACAACGCCTCCGGCTCCTGGTAGCTACAGCGCACTGCCACAGACTCTCCCGCCGAGAAGGGGGCAAATCAAGATCAGAGTCTTCAAGACCATCTCCAATTCGGTGCGCTGTCGGCGTGTTCATCCAGTGACCTCCGCTTCTTCAACGCCCGGTTCCGAGTGTGCACAACACTTCGGATGACTGATCTCGAAAGAAGGCGGAGCTTGACCTCCGATGAGGTCCGATTCCGTGGTGGTACCCTTGGTAAAGAGCTGCTTTCCTCGTTAGTGGTCATTATCCTTAATGTTTCGTAATTTTTAATTTCTTTTGGGTAAACCGGAACGCCGTCTGCGGTGTTATCGAGCGCCGTTTATTCGACGCCTCCAACCGGAAAAGGGCCTGTCTTTTGGGGGGCTACTCTAGTTCTCAGGCAGATCAGTTATTTATTTGTTTTTTTTAAAAATAAATTTGTAATTATTCAAAAGGTTTTTCTTTAAGAGTATAGAAGTAAAGTTCGATGGTCAGACCGCGGGTGATTCTGGCTTGGGTAAAGGAAACTTGTACAGACACTGACATGCCCCAATCAAACAGACCCTTTAGCTCCGCCCTTTCGACGAGGGCTTCCTGAGGATGAGAAATTATTACAAGATTGCAAATATTATTTTGTATCTTATTTTCCCTGTATTGCATTTTTTTTTAATCTAAAACAACTTTATAGCCTTGTTTTGCTGTACTCTGTGAATAAAGTTGGAATGTATGTCCATTCGTTGGGCTTTTTATGCCAAACCCGGATTTTTCTTCGCCGTCACATTCTGTCCGTTCAAGAATAAAAGCTAAATTCCCATTCTTCCGGCAGGTTTAAATAAAAGTAATTCCTGAACAGGTTGTTCTCAAGGGAAGGAATGATGCAGGATTTGGAATGTGAAAAAAAAAAAACATGGATGATAAAAATTCTACAATTGGCACAGGAACTTTTATTTCTTTCCTTTTTTTTTGGCAGTCTTTGTTATCCTTGCAAAAGTGCATTTTTAATTATTATAAATTCTTGTTTGTTTGTTTGTGCTTTCTCGTTTTACTTTAAGCTGGTAGTTTGTTTGTTTTCTCCGATTTCGTGCCTACTTTTTTTCTTTCTCTCTTTTTCTTTTTTACTTTTTTGGCATTTCGTCTGTTGCTTTGTCATGGGAATACTAGAGTTGAATTGATTTTCACAGCATTGAATGAGGTGGATTTTCAAGGGGGGAAAAAGCTTTAGTTAATTAAGGCTGTGTCGTGAAATGATAAAGTTGCGTGCGGTACCCGGCCAAAAGGAAAAGTTGCGTGGTATAAAATAAAAATAAGTTAGATGTATATAATAAATATTATCTTCTGTTATTTAATATAAAAACTCGTTTGATTTATATTTTGATTCTAAATATAATATCTTGATTCATTTTGTTTCTTATATTTATCTATTTTTTCTAAGATAATCCTTGTAATAATAATAATTCTAACCAATATATTTGATCAATAAGGATATTTTATAAAAAACAATATTTATTTATTATAAATAACTAACTTAACTAATTTTTTTAATCTACTCAGATTACTCAATTAACTCTTATATTAAAGACCCTAAATAGTAAGTTAAATGATTTTCACATGATTTTGGAATTAAACTCATCAGTAACGGATTAAAGAAAAAGGGAAGATTCTAAAAATATGTTATTAAAAATCGGATAAAAGTGCAAGTGACCACTGATTAATTTTTCTTCTCTAAAATTTATGAAAAAGTTACTTTTATTGTAATCTCTCGTAAGAACAAAGGGCACATAACTAAAAGTGATTTGGGATCTGTGGGCAAACAATCCGGGCCAATTCTGTTTAGAAAGGAGAACCAAGTCACTAGTTGACGAGAGAGGGACACCCAAGCGGACTCATGAACCCTCTCAAATGTAAGCCTTTTTGACAGTAAAGGTGGAAAAGTAATTCAGGAATGCATCCCTCACTCCACAGCACCAAAATAACAATAGGAAATTTTAACATGGCTGGAGTTAAATTTAATTATTGAAATAATAAATTATTTATTATTTATGATTGTTTTTTTGTCTCACCACCCACGCGTATCCAAAATAATTAAACTCACATTTAGGGTCTGTTTGGTACGAAAGAAATAAAAGGAAAAAGAGAAATTTTTTTTCAATAAACTCGATTCAAAAAAGTGGCAAAGTAAAGTTAAAAATTATTTGAAATTTTTTATATTACCCTGTCTTTTCTCCCATTCTCTTCATGTCGTTCATACAAAAAAAAAAAAAGAAGTACCTTAAGCACAAATTAAAACAAGCTCGAGACCCTCTCTGCAAAATAAGCAAACTTACCGTATTTACATAATTATAGAGAGGATAATAGGGCACGGGAGCGCGATTACCTTGCCGGCGGATCAAAAGTGGAACACACTTGGCTGCTTCTACAAGACCACGCTAGCCCAAGAATATAAGGCGGCAACTGTTTTTTTTTAAATGAATGAAACGGCAATTTATTGTGACTGCGCACGTGCCTATTTTGTCCCCAAGTAACGCGTGGGGAACATGTCCATAACTACGAGCGCCGACAGGAGATCCCTCACTTGTATAAATCGTAATAGATAACGCACCCAAAGGCTTGTCTTTCTCTTCTGCACAGTCATCCATGACTTTGACCCAAGCGTTTGGTTCTGCCGTTCCGCCCGTCTTTCTTTTTTCGATTTTCGTTACAGCCCCTCTCTCTATTTTTTACCTTCTAATATTCTCAAAATATATATATTCTTCTCTTACCTCAATATACCGCTGGATATTTGATCCGCTTGTCTAGATTTTGGATTAGGCTTTCGGGAAGAGAAGATTTTTCTATGGGTCAAATTCACTTAACCACTAATGTTTAACCTGTCGCCGTTAAACCTCATTGCCTTTATTTTCGACCGACCTCCTTCGTCAGCTTGACCACGCAATTTCGCTGATGTTAGGTTTTTCATCACACGGGATGAGGTCACTGACTTTAATTTCTGTCTTACGGCATAAAAGTTAATGAGAACAATGCAGAGTATATAATGAATAAAAAAATCATTACTATTATTTTTACCATAACATAGTGAAAACAAAAGTAAAATATTATTCACGAATTATTTATTTGTCCACATATACCCCTTTTTTTTATGGCCAACCAACGCGCCCTTGATTAATATGAAAACAAGAAATGTGAGGTCATCGCGGAATATCGTTTGTATGATCATGAGTTCAAACTGAAATTTTCAACTACTCTTCCATGTCATTATTTAGTCCGCCACTGCAATAATTAACTCTTCTGCTCCAACATAATGATCGCTTTCAAAGTATACTACTCATTTAGTCACAAACTAATAGATACCCCACATTTTAACAGCAGTGCAATGTTTTTTTTTTAAACACTTCTCATTTATTAAAGGGTAAATTGTCCAAAACAAAAATAGCAATGCTTTGTGAAAAGCTTAAGGTAACAATTATTTTGAGTCAAGATGTAATTTCTTTTTCACCCCTTGTTTTTAGACTCTGTCTGCTTTTCGATTGGAATTAAAGCACAAATGGGCAAAGGCTTTTGATATAAAAATGACTACTTTACATGGCCAAATTAATTCCATATATGATCATATTCCTTCGTAACGTTCTCCATATAAATATACAAGAATGTTTCTTTTCCCCAACAAAATAAGTACATGAATGCAAAAGATAAAAGTAACGTTTTGGTTCCCCCCAAAAAAAAGGGGGGGAAAAAAAGAAAGAAAACCGAATATATGTAACAGACAGCCCCTCAGCAGGAATCCCAGAAAATATCACAGCACATTCGAGGCTTAAAGCAACCTGATCAAGCCCAAATAGGATGTACCGGGTCCAAATCTCACGGGCCCAAATCTTAGGCGCCAAAGTTATGTACCATTTGCGAGCCGCGTACTGGCGCAGACGACGCCACCAGAAAATTGTAGAGAAGCAGACAGCAGTGAGAACCGAGAAAGCACGCGCCGGCCGTTGCTTTCTTTTGTGTGGCCCGTTCGTTAAGGAAAAGACGATAAAGATGAGCTTTCGTATCCTCACCAGAACCTGGCAGAACCAAACGAGAAGGCGAATCTCGGATTCTGCTTTGCTTTTGCGCCCTTTTTCTGAGCTCTCTTCTCGATCCGAACGGTTCGGAAAACGATTCCTCATTTTACTTTTCTTCAATTGGTAGTAGAGTGCCACACTCATTTTTGTTGGCTTTCATCGTGACTTTCAAGACCTTCTTTCGGTATTGCGTTCGACATCGATGGTGTCATTGTACTCGGGAACTCCCCCGTCGGCGGCTCTCCGGCTGCCTTAAGAAAGTTGTATGACGAAGCCGGTACGAATTGCTTGTTTTGACCTCGCACCTACTATTTTTGTGGATCTAGGCTGCTGTTTTAGCACCCTATATCGCCATCAAAGACTGACATCTGTGTATCTGTCTTTATGTGGCCAGGTAAAATGAAAGTCCCTTTCGTTTTCCTGACAAATGGTGAGATGTTACTTTCTCGTGCAATTTTCTGTCTTCTGATTAAATGAGTCCTAAAGAATCTAAACTATGCTCTGGCATCCTCGTCATGGCGGCTAGAGCGTTAGACAATTGTTGTGGATGTACCATAATCTCAATGTGCATCAACCTCTGTCCGTGCTTCTTTCTTCGTAAAAACTAGCGTAACTTCCATCAATTATTATTACATTCTCTGTGTTAATCTAGACTTCTCAAGGACAAGCCGATTGGAGAAACTCTTTTCGTGAAAATGCTGTCTGCCATGTTTGGTGATGCGTATTTTGTTTTGCAATTTTGGACAGTCAAGTGTCTTAGTAACATTAGTACGATGAGTTAATGTACCATAAACTCTGTGACTTTATTGCCTTTTCAGAATACCTCACTTTTTGGCTCTTGAATTATCCTTTGCACAGGCGGTGGTTATCCTGAATCTAGAAGAGCTTCTGACCTTAGTCGACTGTTAGGCTTAAATATATCACCTTCACAGGTATGTTGAAAATATAACAGTAACTGCGCTTTCTTCTTTCTCGTTTTCCTTGTATATTATTCTATTTTGCTGCATGCTTTTCTCTGTAAACATTCAAAGTACCAAAGGACTGCATTTACCTTCATTGTATGAATCCTCTCCATAAGCCTTTTATTTTATTTCATTTTGTTGCCCTTGAAGCACAGAAATTTTCTTCTTAATCGTTTAACTCTGATCATCGTGCAGGTCATTCAGGGCCACTCTCCATTTAAACAATTGGTCAACCGGTATGCATTTCAAAGTGGTGTAAGATCATGATATGTTGCATTTTAATAAGATCGTATTGCATTCCAAGATGCAATGTGGATCTTCTGCTTTGTGTTTGAACAATCATAAACAAGCTTGAGGCTTCCAGGAAATATTCTGAATTTTGCGTATCCACATTATCCCATGTTATGGGTTTTTTTTTTTTTTGGGGTGACATATCCCATGTTATGCTTTATGATAGAAATACAGAGAGCGATTGTGATCTTAAGATAACAGTACCTTTCATAGTGATTCACATCATTGTGCCTGGAGGTTATATTATAATTTATATCATGAGCGTGACGCTGCCCATAGAGTTCTCAGATTGAACTAGAATCCATTCGAACTGTTTTATCGCCATATGTGAGTTCTTATCCTGGTAGGAATCGTGTAACAATGAACAACGATATCTAACAACTTGGTGTGAAAATGGATCTTTTATGTCTGAAATCTGCCCAGCATGAAAGGAAGGACCTATTTTCCCAATGTTTAAATTTTGACTGGGTCAATTGTCTGAATTGCAAGTGCTGAGGTTCATGTATCAGATGGTTAAAGTTGAGCAGGTTACTCCTTAGTCAGCGTCTAAAGTCATGTGCCTATATGCTCCTGTAATTTCCTAATGTATAGAATCTTCTCAATCTTACTCTATTTATCTTATAGATTTTTCAGTTTGCAGATTTGAAAACGAACTCATTGTTGCTGTGGGAAAAGGGGAACCTGCTGCTGTGATGTCTGAATATGGTTTCAAGTAAATTTTTAAGATAATTGGTTTATTTGACATTTGATGAAACATCAAACAGTGTATTGTTAACTGCAACACCTCATGACTTAGTTTTTATTGTTTTCTACCTTCAGAAATGTTATTTCAATTGATGAATATGCACCATGCTTTGAACATATTGATCCGCTGGCACCATACAAGAAATGGACAACGCTGTTGGGTGCTGATGAGAATTCAAAATTAAAGGAAACTGCTCCAAGAAGCAATGTCTGGTCTGAGAGGGTTCGAGCAGCTTTTGTAGTCAGCGACCCTGTTGATTGGAGCAGAGACATTCAGGTTACTAAAATTCTATGGTTTACCATGTGAATTTTCCTATTTTGACATTGGAATATCTAGTAGGGCATATATTAGTTACAATTATTGATAGCTGATCATTTTGAATCATTGGCTGTAAGTTATAGTTCAACTGAACATCTTTTACTATAAGCATCGAACATTCGATATAAAGCTTAACCGTTAGGTAATGTTTTGTCGTGACAAATGGTTGAAAAAACACAAATCATGAACGACTTGGTACTTTCCTTGATGGAAAATTGCATCTCATCAGTCACCCGCATGGTGGTACAAGGCTTAAGCAAATCCATTTGGTGGATGCTTTCAACAGATCAAGATAACCAGTCTAAGCCTGTCCTTTAAGCATATTTATCATCCTTGATATGATTTTTGTGTTGATAAAGTTATTGCCACGTTCCTTGAAAGCAGTGAACTTTCTGTGCTTCAGCTATACGTGGACCATAACTGTCTTCACGCTATAGCTAGACATAAAGCAAGAGAACATGCAAGGAATAGGAAAAAGTAGGCAGCAGAAGAAAAGGAAATACTATTACTAACGCTTCACCAAAAGAGCCTATATTGGGAAGCATTCAACTAAGACTGAACCTTCAAACTGATGCCATCAATAATAGTTAGTTTGTTCCATTCTTTCTTGAATCGTAACTTGTGTTTCCAAGTACAAATAAAAAGTCAGTCTCTACATTCGTATTCTTTTATGGCTGTTCGATCTGTTATTTTTTCGCAGAACAGGTAGATCTGTGACTGACCACAATGTATTGTTCAGGTGCTCTGTGACATCTTAAGAACAGGAGGTCTTCCTGGAAGAAATGTTGGACCACAACCTCTTTTATACTTTGCAAATGATGACCTCGAGTACCAGGTTAGCTGATTTTTGCTTAATGTATTAACAGCAAGATAGAGATTCTATGGAACCCTTTTAAAAAACTGTAGTATGTTTACTGATGAGGCCGCGCCAAAGGTAGACTGCTTTTCCTTCTGAACGTCTTGGCATGGGAGCTTTCAGAATTGCATTGGAGTCCATCTTCAATAGGTACGACTGCCTGATATCTAACTCATCTTTGCCTATATTTTGGTTTCGCTGCTGTACTCGTTAATAACTTAATCCTCATCGTCAGGCCAACAAATCGGATTAGCATCATGGTGTAGCGTTTGTTCAAATTTAATTCAAGAAACTTAAATTTTGTGTTGGAATGCTCTCCGTGCAGGATTCACCCTCACGCTCTAGAGTATACTAGTTTTGGCAAACCGCATCCAGCTGTATTCAAGAATGCTGAACTTTTGTTGAAGCAACTCATGCTATCGCTTGATAATCTTCATGACGTAAATCATAAGAATGCTAGGTGTTTCGAAACTCTTTACATGATTGGAGACAATCCTGCAGTTGACATCAGAGGTGCAAGACAGGTTTGGATCTTGGACTGTGAATTCTATTTCACCGGTCTGATACATAATTTGTCTGCTGAGGAATAATGCTGCGATAATCGATATGATTCATTTCAGAGTGGGCATCCTTGGTTTTCTATTCTCACGAGAACTGGGGTTTTTAAGGGGAAGGAAAATCATCACAAGTTTCCAGCGGATCTGGTACTCTCCCTCCCTTTCTCTCCCCCTCGTTCACACACACACGCACACAAAAAAAGTACCGTCTTTATTTTAAAAGCTCATGCAATCTCCCCTGAAATTTAAAGTTGCAGTAAATAATCCTCCCCTTTAACTTTTAGATTGTATTCTCTTTGCTCCTGATGTTAATATGCTATAATGTTATGACCAAATTACCCTTGTTTAATATAAAAACTACTATCTCTGGTCCTTGATATAAAAATTAGTCGATTAATTTGAATAGATTATGAAAATTAGTTATTCGTAATAAATAAATATTGTGTTACTTAAAATACCGTTGCTAATCAAGTTGATTGGTTAAAACTACGATTTGAAAAAACCTTTAATATGTGTAGCTACTACAAGTACTATCTTGGAAAAAATAGATAAATATGAGAGATAAAGTGGATTGAGGTCCTATATGTAGGACCAAATTGATTGTCAAACTGGTTCTTATATTAAGAATCAGAGATAGTATTTGATAATATTTTCAAGAAATATTTTTATACACATTTTTATAGCTTGTAACCCACATCTTTACTGTTTTAACTTTCAGAAACATAGCTGAAAATTAGAAAGACTCATAAAAGGGGAAAAAGTCTCATCATTCGGGTTTTGAATCCGGCAAACGATAAACTAAGCATGGCTTCGCCTTCTCTCTCAATTTAAATATATTGTTGAAACCATGATTCAGTTGGTCACACCATTTATTGCCTCACCTCGTAACTGGACTCAGTTGATATGAAAACATTGCCAACCTGTGTACTAGTAACTACTTAGCGATTTAGCTCTTCAACTGTGACTGCCATTCTGAGGTAAAATACCCTCTGGGATTATTTTGTAACGAACTTCGCTTCTGCAGGTTGTTGATACTGTGGAAGAGGCAGTGGACTATATTTTGACCAAGGAATGCGTCTTATAGGTGGTCGTCGCTTTCCATGACCGAGGCTTATGAGCCTCAGGAATTGGAAGATGATAATAATTTTATGATTCTTCTGAAGCAGAAGTCGCTGCATGGAAATCTTAGAATCTTCGATTGGATTGAAATGGATCGATTTATTATCCCTTCGTTTTTTTATCAAGGTTCAGAGGGAAGGGTTGTTACCCTTTGTCACCCGCTTAACCCAAGTTTGTGTTGGCTAAGTTGCATTTCTTCTACTCTTAACTTTTGTTTTGACATGTAAAGTTTCTCTTTCAAACCCATTGCCAGTAAGAATAATAAATAAAAGACAGCACTGCCGCTGCGCATCGGATTTGGACCAACCATCTATTTATTGCCTGAGTTCTCACTTGACGGATAATCGGATTTTCTTTTTCATTTTTGAGCAAGAAGTAAAACTCGGAAAAAAAAAAAAAGGAAAAGGGAAGAGACAATGTATATACACGCTTCGAACTCTCACTTGATGGGTAAGCTTCTACAATTGAAATGTCACAACAAAGCAAATTTATTTGGGTATTGCTCGGCGTTCCTATTCTGGAAAACTCTAAAAGGATCTCGTTGCCTTCAGGCCCTGGTGGCAATTTTGCAGTGATGGGAATTCCAAATGAAGAACAGTTATGCAGATTTCTGGATATACCTGTAACATTCAAACATATTGAATAAATAGCAGTGACTCGTAATGGTTTCTGCACTTATCCTCGTAGTCAACATTTACTTTGGACTTGTATGAAGTAGATTATAATAATTGGGTGAACATTTTATCTTCCTGGGATGGCCAAGTTATTAAGATCTCAGATGAATTTCAGAGGCGTCATTTCCTCACCATGCATTTTGTATTTGCTGTTCCCCAACATTCCACAGGAGACACGAATCCATCATTGCGACTCTCTTTCTCTTAGCTGGGATGCCACATGTTGAGGTGGAAATTAATTAATGCCTTATATCCCATGTCGTTCAATCATATCTGTCAATAATTAACTCTCCTTAATTTTTTGTGGGAAAAAAATTGATAAGAGATATCCGTTGAGGATGGGAAGTAGTACTCTTCAACTAAATGAGATCATCGGAATCCATAATTAATCTATCAGTTGGTGTTGTGATATGTGAAGAAAATGGCATGCCCCACTTGACCCCAGTCGAAAACATGATTCCATTATTGTTCAACTTGTTAGTGTTAGGGCTCGGCTGGGCTGGACACTGATACTGATACTATTATTGCTGGATGAGAATGAGACGAAGCCTCATTTCCAGCTTTTGTCGTTAGCCAGATCATACGGAGAGAAACAGAAAATGAAATTATTGGGCTGGCCTGAAACATGACGATTAAGACTAGCTGCGGTTGTCAGCTAACTCGATCCGCCTGTCTCTTCGAAACGACATTTGGCATTAAAGAAAGGTGTCATGAATTTGACAAAATTATCACACTCAGCTGATTGATGCATTCATGACGATCTCTTATTTGTGTGTGTGTGTGTGTGTGTGTTTCAAATGCAGAATGCCGTAAAGTGAACTCCGTAAAATTACTCTTCATTTCGAGTGTTTCCTTCCGTACAGCTCTCTTCCTCCCTCGATAGGTCCGACTTCTTTTTCTTTTTCTGTGGCCCTCATGAAAATTCATATGCCAAATTATTGTGAATCTGTGACGATGATAAATTCATTTTATCAATAAGAAGCTATTCAAAATATTTCTTTGTTTTAGATTTCACGTCGACTAATATAGCGAGTTATTAACAATTTTGAAACAAAATGATATTAAATTTAAGCCCAGTTTTAAATTAAAATGACCAAATATAAAATGCCTCCGGTTAAAATAGGTTTTATAATGCCCGCGAGCTAATTACATGTACTTTTTTTTATCCCGCCAGTGATATATATTAAATAATATTTATTTCAATCAATATGATTGTAAAATTATTTTTTTTTGGAGGATGATGTCTAGCTCTTGAATCTAATAAATTTTTTTAAAAAAATGAGTTGCATATATCAATTTGCCTAATTATAAATAAGATATTTAATTTATAAATATGATTCTCAATGATTTCTATTTACTATTAATTGGATGGACATTTGAAACTCATTAATGCCAACATTCAGTCGATATTTTAGTCCAGATCAGAATAAAATAAAAATGATGGGAATGTGGGGTCTGTGTGCTGATGCATGGCCCACCAAGAATTATGGAGATATGAAAATGCGGAAGAAATAAGAACATGTGGTAGAGGAAAGACACGTACATTGTTATATCTCTTCGGCTAAATCATAGAGCGCGCGCGTCAACATCTGCGTGCAAGACCATTTTTGTTGTAACTATGGTAGGGAGAATCGTTATAAAATACTCCTCCGGTCCTTATTATAAGACCCAATTTGACTTTTTATTTGGTCCTAATTATAAGACCCAATCCATTTTCTCTCTTATATTTATGCATTTTTTTCCAAAATAATCCTTCTAATAATGATAGTTTTAGCCAATATACTTAATTAGCAAGGATATTTTAGGAATAACAATACTTATTTATTATAAATAACCAACTTAACTTACTTCCTTAATCTCCTCAAATAAGTCAATTGGGTCTTATAATTAGGACCGGAGGAGTATTTAGGAAAGAATACATTTACCAAAAAATCTTATAATAATTAAACAGTTTTTTTGGTAATGATAAGCTTTAAAGCAAAAAATGACAGTAGATTTCAACTTGGTAGTTTGAGTCATTTTTTCCTTTTAATACCTCACGCAAATTCTCCCATTACAGTATTATAGTGTGCTCCTTAATTCTTTTTAATACTCCTCCGGTCCTAATTATAAGACCCAATTGACTTATTTGAGGAAATTAAGGAAGTAAGTTAAGTTGGTTATTTATAATAAATAAGTGTTGTCATTCCTAAAATATCCTTGCTAATTAAGTATATTGGCTAAAACTATCATTATTAGAAGGATTATCTTGGAAAAAAATGCATAAATATAAGAGATAAAATGGATTGGGGTCTTATAATTAGGACCAAATAAAAAGTCAAATGGGGTCTTATAATAAGGACCGGAGGAGTAGCAAATTTCGAACCATACATTTGTAATTTGTCTTGATCGTCCTCTTAATTGCATCGCTTACTTCCTTCCCCTGCTTTTTTAATTCCATGACTGTGTTATTATACCCCTATTTACATGAATGGAATGTATTTATTTATTGTCAATGTCGATAATTTTCAATTTTCAAAGCAAGTGCATATCAGTTCTTTCTTTCTTTCTATAAAGAAACGAAAATTAAAATTCAGATTAGTCATCTCATGAAACTGCAGGACGTAACAAAACAAAACGGGATTATAATTCATCAACCAGGCATTGTTAATAGATTCGATTTTGCCTATTTATTTTTTCTCCAATTTGTATATATTCCATGAGATTCTTCCGAGACAAAAGGATAATGTCACATTCCTTACATTTCAAGTGGGGTATGGGTAACATACATGCACAAGTAACACAGTAAATTGAAGTTTAGTTGCAACTTGCAAGTTGTTTTTATCTGCGTTTAAGTGCAATGTTACATTATTCTTGTCGACATGTATAAATCATTTTATCTAAAATATAAGTCTAGCTTAATAATGTTTAGTGTAATTAATATTTTTTTCTCTATTTTACCATTTTGCACTGTTAAAATTTTATTAATAATTTATATATTACTGAATTTTGATGACAATATGTTTGAAAACTTACACAAATTTTGTTATCTATACTTTTGTCCTTAGTATAAAATCCAATTAAATAATTTGATGTTGATCATAAATATAAGATCTATCCTTGTATTTATCATTTTTTTAAACCACTTTTATTAATATTCTCTCAATAACAATTAATTAGGTATAACAATGATTTAGGGTGAGTAATGCTTTCTACTATGGAAAAATTTATTAATGCCACGTATACAGAATCATACTGTTTTTAATAAATAATTTTAAACATTTTTTAAAAAAATAATTTCAAGTAAGTACCAGTTTAAAGTGATTGGATTTTTCTGGAACATAAATGAAGTAAACCATATATCAATCTCATTATTCTAAACGAGCGCATATGCTGATGCCATTTAAAATGACTGGAATGATCCTGTAGCCAAGACAAAAGCATGCAACTTTTCTTCAGTTTAAAAGAAGAGTGAATAGTTTTTAAATTAAGGATGGATGGAGGAGTAATAATTTTCTTTTCAGTTAAATTAGACTTATATTATGAAGAAGAGGAATATGTTGAGATAGAGATCGGGGGTTTAAATGCTTTTAATACAAGCTAACACACACATTCAATATATCATATCATGTGACATTGTTAATAAAATAACATATCATGCCAGTCATAAAATAGTTACGATCAATACAAACGTACTAACCCGTCACATACTTCACTAATGCTTTATTCAAAAAACAACTATTACTCTGCTGAAATCCAAAGAAAAATACAATACCCGTGCACCGAATGTTAACGATGGATAGGAACATACCTTACACTTCATATTATTTCGTCCCTAATAATTTAAAACAACTAAGCATACAATATTTCAATTGAAAATAAAGATGAAATTAAGTAAATAATAATTGCATAACTGCTGTGGAGCTGGGTGGACAAAAAATATGGACAGTTAGTATGTTGGATATATGTCTCTCCCTGCAATCTAGCTAATAGCAGAGAGAGCACCTAATTAGCCTGTCTTGCTAGTCGTTTCGGTAGTTATTGTTAATCGATAATAATGAACACAAAAATCATTAAAGTAGATAATAAACAAATAAATAATCATCATTTCTATAAAAGTGAAAGAAAATCTCTTTAACATCAACCAGATATCCACTATACCTCAAATAGATCTTCATTCTATCCACATCGAGCTCACACATCAATGTTTGTATTTGGTAGCTGAGTTCATATTTAAACCATATACTCCTTCTTTTCCCTTTGCTGCAAAACACTTCCAAATCTTAACCATCTCGATCACCAAAACTAATGAGAGGTGGTTAAGTCTTACTTTTATTTGAAGATAAAATAATGTTTCAAATTTATTCATATTTAAATCTATGAATTACATATTCGGATAAGAAATGACAAGAAATCGCATCAAACTCCAAATATTGACAATCCTGAATTAAAAGAATGACGTTAATACATCACTTTGTAGTTTATAATATAATAAAGACCATCGAGTCATTTCAAAAAAGTTGTTTATAATATGAACCGGAGGGGGTATTCTTGCCAAATCATGCTCGGAGGACAAACTTAGTATCATTATTATTTTTTACTTTGGTGTCTGCAATGCACAAACCTCGGCATCATACAATTAACTAACTTTATTCATAACTAAACACACCAAGAAGTGAACCTTAATTAATTTATATTCATAATTTATTCCATCACGCCTCGTAGTCAAGTTTTCACGTAATTCAAACGAGGTACTTTTTGCGATGCTTATGGTTAGCCCATTATCCACACACACACACACACACACACACCCCATCCTCATCATTATCCGTATAATCTTTACATTATGTTTTAATTGCATTGTGGCCGACAAATTAAAGAAATCATGATTTTTAAGTATCATTCTCTGGGCAACTTTTTTCATCTCTATATTATTTGCCATAAACTCAAACTAAATAATTAACAATTGAATGCGTATCATAATGAACTACTAAAAATCCTTTCTTCATTCTAAATTTGATTTTTTTGTTTTGTCGCAACATGCACTCTGCTACGTGGCCCTCTCGACCGCATGTAATATAATCTAATGCGCTTTCCTTTTATATTGAGTTTTTCATTGTTGTTTTAACTTCCAAGTCATTCTGCTTATCGCTGTCACCCCCGCCCTCTTTTTTGTTTTTGTCTGGCACTTCCTTTGCTTTGCTTTGATTGCTAATTTGCTCTTTGAAAATATCGAACTTTCCTTTTCCTTCTCAAGAAGCAGCGGCGTCGTTTTGTGATCCAGCTGTTCATAATGGATGATGGCTCGTGATTAGACGCCCGTCATATGTGTGATACTGCGAGCACATATATGGAATAGAGATATACCATGGTGTTATTGTTTTTTTTTTATGGCACTTTTTTTTTTGGGTTCAGTTCTAAACTTGTAATTTAGTTTATCTACGTGGGACATATGTACATATAATTTATTCCACCAACAAGCTTTCTTTGTATTAAACCGAAAAAATGGTTTCATTTGCTCAGGCGTACCGTTCACCTTAATATGTAGATCGATCGGGGTAGGGAGATTAAAGAAGCATGCATTATGAACATTGTTTGAGTCCCAAGTAAATAATGATCATTTAGTTAAAAGTCAAAATGGGATGCCAAGACACAAACGCTGCCATGATATCCATCAAAACCAGAGGGTTATCACGTACTGATTTTAGCACAAATATTTTATTAAAAACGGAAGACGAGTGATATGAATACGAGCGTTGTTGTTGGCCAGAAAATAAAAGAGTGCTTATTCCGTGCTGTCAAGCCCACGTGAATCGTCCGAACTCTCATTTATTGGTGGCCGCAGAAAAGAAAAAATCAAATACTTACTTGGCATTTTACCTCCCTTATCTCTGCCCCATTTTCCCTCTTATTCATTGGCTTCTGATTTACGTGGCTCTGTCCCTCGTGGGCATCACTATTAGTCAACCAACTTCTTAACCCACGCCGAGCTCACTGGGCCCCACCACTAAGTCATCTGTAGGGCCCGATTCTTCAAATTGACCGCTACCTTTCATTTTATTCCTAGTTGTTCACTTTTACCCTACTGATATTATTTATATTAAATTTTATTTAAAATTCAACAATTTTTAATTTTAATTTTATTTAATATATATTATATATCATGTAAATAAGATTAATATAATAATAAATAAAAAATAAAATTGTACACATATATAAATTTTTTTTAGTACTCTATAAATAGAATAAAAAAAATATCTCCTTACCATTTTATAAATAGAACCAGATAAGTAAAAAATAAATAGTATCCGAGAATATTTTCTGAAGGGTTTTAGTACCCTCCTGCCACCTTCTCTTATTGCCACTACTGTTTTGTTTTACTTTATCACTTTTTCTTTTAAACTTTGGAAGAATCGACGGTGAATAAGAGTGCTCATGTGAATGTGAAGTGGATGTGCGCACTAGCTTGCCCGCATCGCCCCTTTGCAATCATTGAACACCACGTTAGTTGGAGCAGTGCTCGATAAAAAAGAGCACCAGTTTTTAATTAATTGGTATACGCACCAAATTTAAATATTACTCTTTCTCCTGTTTTAAGTATAAAATCAACTTTATATTATAAAATAAGTTTATATTTAACACTGTGTTTGTATGAAGCTAATATATAACAATAATATAGTAATTTCTCATCATTTAATGGGAAAAAAATTACCGCACTAGTATTGATGAGCAATTGAAGCGGAATACAGAAATTACCAAGGAGCAAGGTAACAAGGAGGAACCAACGATGTGAGATCATGATATCGTTAGAAATGACAGAGAATTCTGTAATTGTCGTTTTCTTGGCGCGCGTCACCTGATCTGATTCATTCGTGACTTGTATATAACAATTTTGTTAGAGCTGTTATGGCGCTCCATATTATTAGATGCACCACCACGCCCTTCCACAACTTGAGAAGCAGCCTAAGGGCCCTTCCCAGGCTCTGAATCTCTCTCTCTCTCTCTCTCTCTGCTTCTCCTTCTCTCTCTCCGTCTCTCCCTTTTTGCAGTGTTTATCGTTTTCTGAGACTCTGATTCTGCCTCTTCCCTCTCGGATTCACTCTGAAACATATGGGTTGTTTTCTCTGCACTCGCGATCCAACCAACAAACCCTCCCCTCACGGCAATTCCAAAAGCCTCGTCCGCTGCGATAAGACGTCCAACCACCACCGCCCTGTTTCAGGTGAATTTTCCACATCATTTCTGTTCTCCTTTTTCCGAGTTCATGCTCACCCTCAGAAACATATCATTATATGCTTTTGGTTTGGCGATGTTGCACCCAACGTATTGTTTTAAGATTTATTTCCTCTCTTTTGAACGTTTTATTTTTATTAATGCCCCATTTTGGTGATGATCCCTGTCCGTTCTATCTCCAAGATTTTCATTCAGATTCAAACGATCCATCGTTGGATTCAACATTTTCAAGGCTATTCGAATCTTCAAATAATGATAAAAAAATTCCTTGAGGGAATTAGTATGGATCTTTTTTCCGTAAAAATTCTGGATTTGGTTATGTCCTGAGCTGATCAAAGTTCACTCGTGTTTTCCTTTGTTTCGTTCTGGAAGACCGTTTTTTCCACGCGTCTTTTTGGGAGAAAAAAAAAATATAAATAAAACAGATGATTGTAAATTTGGCTTTGTTTTTATTCGATACATGTATCTTCCATTCTAAGAGTCTCTAGAATTCATATCACCTCTCAGAAACCGTATAGGGAGAGATTTTGAGTAGTTTTCGGAGTCTTTCGAAGGCTTCAAGCCTTCAACCGGCAATACATCATCGCTGAGTCGATGGTCTATTTTCCGTAATATTAAGAAATCAATGTCAGTGTCACGTCGTTTTCTCTGATCTAATCTGTCCTTCACGTGGATCGTGTACGTATTACAGATAAGGTTCGAGCGGACTCGAACGTGAATGTGAAGAAGGAAGTTATTATTTCTTCCAAGCCTGATGGTTTTTCTCCTGACATAAAGGCCTTAAATTTAGAAGACAAAATTCCAAAGGACGGAAAAGTTGATAATCTGAATCGTGCAAAATCGTTCTCGTTTGATGAGCTCGCAGAGGCGACAGGTCGTTTCAGATCAGATTGCTTGGTGGGGGAAGGAGGTTTTGGGAAAGTTTACAAGGGATGCTTGAAGAAAACGAAGCAGGTTCGTTCATATACTTGATTAGGCAAAAGCAGATCAACACACACATGTTCTTACATATAAAATTCTCTTTCATGCGTAAACCTTTTTTTTTTTTCAAAATATATAATTAATATGGGGGTGGTGTAGGTGGCGGCCATAAAGCAACTGGACCCGGATGGACATCAAGGGAAGAGGGAATTTGTAGTGGAAGTATTGACACTGAGTATGGCAGACCACCCTAATCTGGTCAAACTCTTAGGGTTCTGTGCCACGGGACAACAAAGGTTGTTGGTCTACGAGTACATGCCTCTGGGATCCCTGGAGAATCATCTCTATGGTGCAGCTACAGACATATATACTCTCTTTTTTTTTTTCTTTTCAAATACCCCACAATTAATTTGTTAAAAATTGAAGTTGACGAAGATTTTCTTCTTGTTTATGAATTCTTGCAGATCTTCCTGCAGGTAGAAAAGCACTAGATTGGAACACGAGAATGAAAATAGTAGCAGGGACAGCAAGGGGTTTGGAATATTTGCATGATAAAATGAAGCCTCCAGTGATATACAGGGACCTGAAATGTTCCAACATATTGCTAGGAGAGGGATATCATCCCAAGTTGTCTGATTTTGGGTTGGCAAAAGTAGGCCCTAGTGGAGAAGACACTCATGTTTTAACTAGGGTTATGGGCACATATGGCTATTGTGCTCCAGAATATGCCATGACTGGTCAATTAACTTTTAAGTCCGACATTTACAGCTTCGGTGTTGTTCTTTTGGAGCTTATCACCGGGCAAAAAGCTTTTGACAACTCAAGACCTGCCAAGCAACAGAACCTAGTCTCTTGGGTACGTCATCATATCTTCTTTTCCTCACCTAGCTTTCTTGGCACAATCCTGTGTTCTTTTTGTTAATTCTCATTTTGTTGTCGTATTGTCCTTGCTAAGCGTATGTTGGACCAGGAGGGGGGGGGGGGGAGGTAGCTGCAAGCGGATGGAGTTGTTTGTGAATGCGTCATCCAGCTGTCATATATAGTTATAGCTAGCAAGCAAACTGAAACTTTTTTTTAAAATAAATATTCGTTCACTATATATATATATATATATATATATATATGCGTTTGCGTGCGTATGTCATAAATGAAAATGACTGGTGGAAAATTATTGAAATTGAAATAAGTAGAACAGAAATAGAAAGAAGCTAAAGTTTTGAAGGCAAACTATTTGCAGGCAAGGCCAATGTTCAAAGACAGGAAAAGATTCTCAGAAATGGTGGATCCATCGCTTGATGGTCAATATCCAGTGAGAGGATTGTACCAAGCTCTGGCAATTGCAGCCATGTGTGTGCAAGAGAAGCCTCATATGAGACCTGTTATTGCTGATGTTGTCACCGCTCTCAACTTCCTCGCTTCCCAGAGATACGATCCACGCCATCAAATTTCACACAAGCCCAGATCCAAGAAGAGCCTTCCTCCGCTCACAAATCCTCATGATCATGCTCTTCTTGATGCTAATTTCTCTGAGTCTGACAGATCTGGGAACGAAGAAATTAATTTTGACTCAGACAGATCTGCTGGCACCCAACAAAACAACTCTGAGACAGATAGATCTGAGAATGAAGGAAATAATTATGAGTCTGACATATCTGGGAACGAAGAAAATTATTAAGTGTTTTCCCCTCCTCGGATTATTGTGTCTATATGTAGTTATGTGCCTCGTTATCTATTTTGGTCCCTAGAAGATAACAGGTGCTGTGTTGGATCTTAGCCTTTGAAAAATCTCTCTTTGTTTGAACTTGTTTTCTTCCTCCATTTTGATCTGTTCCTTCGCTTAAGGAGTTGGACTCGAGAGTAACAGGTACGGATTGTTTCTGTGTTTGACCACACATCAAGTCTTACGTATTAATTCCTGTGCTAATATACGATTTAATTTATACTATCTCTGATCTTAATATAAAATCTAATTGATTAATTTAAAAAAATTAGTTAAGTTAGTTATTTGTAATAAACAAATACTATTTTTTCTAAAATATCCTTACTAATTATGTGTATTAACTAGAATTATCATTTGATGAAACTTTTAACATATGCAAACTATAAGAATTATTTTGAAAAAAATAGATAAATATGAAAGACAAAATAGATTGAAATTCTATATTTAAAATCAAAATAAAAATCAAACAAACTCTTATATTAAGGATCGGACGTAGTAGTTTAATTTAAGTTACAAATTGAATTTTATATTTAACACTAGAGGTAGCATAATGAAATATTAATAACAGGTGCCTAAGGAGCAATGACTCACGCATGCGGGCTGGGGCCTCTAATGCCCAGGAGCAAGCACTTCGGTGTATTAATAACATGAATATAATTTAGATAATTTTAAAAAATCGAGCGCAATTATTGTCCATATCGATTGTTTACATCGGATCTTCTATGAACATTTTTCACGCTTCTTTACTTGTTCTTTTGATAATTTATTTAATTGTTAACTACAATCATCAGTATTTTCAAAATTTTCTTTCTTTTTTCCTCATAAACTTGGCAATTTTTCCTTTTGAAATAATTTTAAGATCATAATTCTCTACAACGATAGGTGTATTGAGATATATATATATATATATATATATATAAAGATCTAAGAAATAAACTGATAAAAGATGTTGTATTCTTTTATCAATTAATTGATAACTTTCTTCCCATAAAAATACGGTAGAGCTGCAAAAACCAATGACGAATTAATCAATATATAGTTTGTTTAGAAAATTAATTAGTGGCTTATGAATAATAAAGTGGTACGATTTGATGAACAATGATTTTTCTGGGTTAATGTTTTGTTTGTATTAATTTCTTTAAAACATTCATTTTACAAGGCAACCATAATTTGCAACGTCGTAAATCTCACGTAGGTCTCATGTTTGCGGGGTCCCAGGAGCCAATATTTAGGAGGCATGTACTTGCATAACATGTAAGTCAGTGGTTTAAGATACATCCATCTAACATAAGCATTCTAATTCCTCAAAAGTTTGAGATATAGAGACAGTGAAATTTTGCTTATATCCTGTAGTTAAATACCCGATAAACCTGATTGAACAATTATGTCCATCAGCTAGAATTAATGGAAGACGCTGGATTGCACTAAACATATGAACTAGTAAACGCAGATAGAAATGCTTTTATAGCAAATATATGACATCTTTTTGTGCTCGGTTGATCAAGAACAGTAATGGTCGTCCCACCATTTTCAGACAACTGCTGCTTATAGGCTTTGTTAGGTTTAGGCATATACAATAAGGTTAGGTTCCAATCTTTTGCCCTTTCGTAGAACGCAGAGAACATCTATCTTTGCGTTTACCTCGACAGGTCATCACTTTTTGTAATATAATTTAGAAACAACGTAGTCCATTTAATCACTTTTTCCTTTCGTCGGCGCTACAACTCACTAATCTCGCCATCTCGACAATTGCCCACCCAAAGGTACATGGTTGAGCCTGTACGCGACGGCATAACCCTGCAACAATCCCTCCTCGGTGACTGCAAACCAATTAATTCAAACATGTTCAGGTAATTAAGTTTTTGCATCTGACGTTGAGACGTACGTACGTTATGTGTATATAGAATGCATGAGTTAATTATAAGTTGGTGTTTATGACAATATCCTACCTTTTGCCATCGAAGAGGATCTGGTCTTTTGAGAACGACGATGGTATCGACTTTCTGGGGTGAGTCCATTTTCCAGCGACAGAAAGAAGGCTTAGAGTTATGACGAAAGTAAGTGCCAATGATCTGCCTCCTTGCGGAGTCATATCGGGCCTTGCTCATGTAGAAGACGAAGGGCTTTTGACAAGGGTGTCTGAAGACGGGCCTTGTGTTGAAGGTATAAGCAGTGTAATCAGCTCTTCTGTACCAATTAAGAAAGGTTCTTGAGGGCATTTCTAGTTCTCTCGGGGATAAGATGCCCCTCCATACTTGAACCACGTAACCCCACGACACTGAGATGGACCAGTACTTGTTCTTATCGTAGCAGATTGATTGCTGCATCACGCTGGCTGAGTCGTGCTTCACCGATTCCATCAGGCGCTGTATGGCTCTCGCCCGACTCATTCGTGGGAATATCGGCTCCACCACGTCCAGGTGGTGCAGTGTCACTAGTGGCGCCACTGGATGTGACCCCAGTAGCCCTAATAGGTCTCCATATACATCATACTGCATCACAAACACCGCGTCAATAATTTGTCATATTTCTTGTCTATGTAAGGATGAATTAATCCCACAAATCAGAGTCTTTTAACTTCTTAATTGGGGTTTCAAAGCAACAGTCAATTAGATATATAGACCTGGTGGAACCCAGCTTCCTTGGTGAGTGGGACCCCGAGCTCAGCCATGCAGGCTTGAATTCTATCATCACTGCCATACAAATTAGGGTATCTCTGAATGCAACGGTCCTGCATCATGGACAGCTCTTTGGCCAATGGATAGCTGATAGCAAAGCCACCCCCTCCATATGCCATCGCATACGAGAAATGTATGTTCTGAACATGACTCTCCGACGAGCTTCCTACATAGTAATACTGCCTGTGGTCGTACTTGGACAATATTCTCACTACGTTGTCCACCACAAAAATCGTGTCGTCGTCTCCCATCACGAACCACCTCACATCCTTCATCCCCAGCTTCAGTGTCTCCGATACCACCCTCGATATCCTCAGCGCCGATCTGTCTCCCTGACGAGGTTTTATTTCATGTGTATATCAATATCGGTCAATGTATACATGGGCGCGCACATTGGATAATTGTGAGAGTACTACGCTCGTGATGTGCTCGATCGAAAGATTAAATAAATGAATGATCACCTGACGGTTCCTGTATTTGAATCTGGACGTTTCTGCAGAGATTCGAATCTGCGGCAACGCTTCGTTCCTTCGTACTCTGACGCGCTTATCCAGCCATACGACTCCTCTGGTTTGGCCTGGCCTCCACCACGTCTTGATGTATTCTTTTCTGTTATTCCACAGATTGGAGGAAGCTGCTATGCCGAAAACGATGTGTTTAAGCTCGGTGGGAGGAATACGAGGTGTTTCGGGGGGTAACTGCGCTACGATTTGCTCTGTTTCTAAGTCTTCTGGTTCTTCATCCTCTGTTTTTTCTTCATTTTGGATTGTGGTGTTTGAGATGTGAAGATGGTTCTGGGAGGTAGCGAGGTCTAAGTTGTTCGGACAATCAGGCGTGTCGTAGGGGGAGACGAAGAGGTCGGAAGAGTGAAGAAAATAGAGCATGATGATGATAACTACGAGCCATGTGATGACACTTTTAGAGGCAGAGCCACCATGGTTATGCTGCATGATGTGTTGCTGTGCGGAATACGTTGATTCTTCAGTTCTTTATTCTGGTTTCTTGAGGTTGTAGCTTAGTAATTTCTGCCCCTAACACTAGACACATGTGTTTGCTCTGAGAGGAGCTTGTAATGAGAATTGTTCGGATCAGGGAGAGAGTTTGAATTTCTGGCTTTGTATTTGATCAATTCTTCAAGTGAGGTTTGTTGTAGACGGAAGCGAAGTTAAATGCTATTAAAATGGGAACCAGTTTAACTACTCGTTAGTTTGACAAGCACCCAGTTTTATCAAGTCGCTCGTATCTTTATTTGAAATGTTCAGATTTTATTATTATTATTTTTGTTTAAAATAATTATTTTCATGGGTATATAATATAAAATTTTTTTCACTATTATTTTTTCAAGAAATAATTTTTATTTAAAAATATTTAATTAAAATTTTAAATCTGGACCAGACAGATGAGGTCTACATGATTAAAGTTTAGATTTAAAGTGCTCCTTATATTGATGAGCATCCAAACTGGTTCCATTGAAACGAAAGAACCAGTTTTAATGTTCATCGCAATAATTAGCGCTGATCTGGAAGGGAGGATGAAAATTACAAATTTCCCTGGTGCGATTAGACAGAGTTGAGTTAGGGCCTGTTTGGGTATCCCCAAACCGTGGTTTCAGAAGCACTTTTCCGCAAAACGAGATAATCTCCTCCACATATTTACTTCGTAATCCGTAAAAACACTTCTGAAACCATGGTTTGGTTTCTATCCAAACACACCCTTAATCAGGACATTGATGGGGCCACGAATCCGTTAACAGGTTTTATTGGGACTGTGGTGGATCTCGTCTTTAGCTGGGTCATGATCCGCGGCTGGAAATCTCTCTCTCACTATATACCTTATCAAGAAATGGCAAAAAAAAAAAAAAAAAAAAAAATCCTATCAGGAAAATTATTCTTCTGCTATTTTGTTTAGATAAAAAAGAAATTGTAGATTTTAAACTAGCTCGAAGATCACTTCAAGAAGCTTTCGCCGAAAGCTTTGATTATGAAAAAAGAAGCGACAAAAGAAGAGTATGGAAAAAAGTAATAATAACTCATACAGATCATGCAAAGAATACTACTTTTAAAATGAAATACTACATCCGATCCTTAATATAAATCTTATTTAATTTTTATTTTGATTTTAAATATAAAACTCTAATCCACTTTATTTCTTATATTTATATGTTTTTTTTCAAAGTAACTCTCCTAACAATGATAGTTCTGGTCAATACACTTGATTAGTAAACAACACCTATTTAAGACAAATAACTAACTCAACTTACTTTCTTAATCTCCTCAAATTAGTCAACTGACTCTTATAATTAGTATCGGAGGTAGTAATAAAGTAAACAAAAAGTCATACATTCCAATTAAAAAAAAGACGGATATGTTCTGCTGGTAAAAGAAAAAAAAAACTGATATGTTCCGGCGGGGGTTTATGGGATTTGAAGCGTCAAGTGATGTAAATGTTGAAATCCCCTTTCCCATAAACCCCCTTGATGTACTTCAAGTTGATATTTCTTCTTATTCTATTTATAAATTATTTTTAACGTGTTTTTATATAAATTAATAAAAATTTTAAATTTTATCAATTTTCATTTAAAATTTAGCAAATTTTTAATTTTATTCATATTTAATATACAATATACTAATACTTCCTGATCTAAATATAAGAACTAGTTAACTAATTTAGGTAGATTAAGAAAAAAAAGTTAAGTTAGTTATTTGTGATAAATAGGTATTATTTTTCTTAAATATCCTTTCTAATTAAATTTATTCGCTAGGACTATTATTATTATAAGGATTATCTTATGAAAAATAAATAAATATGAGAAACAAAATAACTTTAAATCTTATATTTAAGATCAAAATAAAAATTAAACGAGATCTTATATTAAAAATAAAAAATAAAAAATAAAAATAAAATAAACATAATACTCCCCCCGTTCCTTATTATAAGAGACATTTGATGCTTATGGCATGTTTCTATATATAAGAGACACTTAAAAGTTGTCTCTACTTTTTTGTGTTGATTTCCTATTTTACCCATATTTATTGTCTCCAACTCACACTCTCTCTCCCTCCCACTTCTCTTTCTTTTAATAATTTAATTATTCTCTCTCATGCTCTCTCTCCTTATTAATGAGGGCATTTTTAGAAAAAAGATTATATTTTTTACACATTGATTATTTTTAACTGATTTTAACTGTTTTTTTTATCAACGTAATTCGGTTATTCGTCTCTTATAATAAGTAACGGAGAGAGTAATAAATAAAAAGTGAAATTACGTCTTCTTAGGAAATTTTCTCACTGAAGGAGAGGAGTTAATAACACGGATCCACCTGTTCTGCTTTCCCATCATAATACTGGTCCCTGACTACTGTTAAGTTCCAGAGTTCCATTTCCATAACAAAAATCAACCAAACCATTGATTAAGTTTCGATTCTCTAAATTCCATAACGTCCTTACCAATGGGAAGTCAGGACATCAAGCAATATGAATTGACCCGAAAGTTTTAGTTGTAATTACTATAATTAACATCACCAAGATCTTTTGAACAAAGCTTGTGCCCCTTCAACTTGCCTTTGCCCTCGGGGGTCGCGACCATAAACAGTGACCTCAAAAGGCGCAGATTGGTATCAATTTATATCATGACCCGCGCCCCGGGAGAAAGCCCAAAGGTAACGAGAAATTGAAAATGATAAATAGAGACTGAAATTATAATTAAGAAAATCATTAAAAAAATTTAGATAAATGATTATTTGTTATATGATATTAGATGAACCTGTAAAAGTGAGATTGAGAAATATCATAAGGATAATATTTTCTAATCCTACATATATGTAATTTGTACAATAACATCTAACTATCTCTTATATTAAGTATTTTTTTAATTACAATCTCAATCTATACTCCTTATTTGGAATTAGAGTTTGTGTACTTGCATGGTTACATTTAACTTAATTTATTCAACTTAACATGCTTTTTTGTTAGTTAAAAACTCTGAAAAATGACAGAAAAAGAATATGAAAATTACTTCAACTTCAAATTATGATTGTTTTCTCATAAGCAAGCTTTCATTACTTTTAATTTAGAAATAATACTTTTTTAATTCTAAATATAAGACTTTTTTATAGTATAATTATAAAACTCATTTTATAATATAAATTATACTTTTATACTATAAAATGAGTCTTATATTTAGAATCAAAAACTACAAAATAAATATTATATTTAGAATCAAAGAGTAAAATATTTTTACAAAAATTACTGATTCCATTTTCTGTCATTTTTCCTATATGTTTATTAAATTAAATTGCTCTGGCCATATTTAGTACGGACATGCAATAATTTGACGGGCCATTTCTTTTGTTAAAAGCGCTGTGCTCTTTGTCATTATTATATCCTGTTACCAGTTCTTGGTCAAATTATATTTACACTGCCACTGAATTTTTTGTAGGTTTGTTAAATTGATTATTTATAATAATTAAGTATTATCTTATTTAGAATATTTTTATTAATTATATATATATATATGAAACCTTTAACATGTACAACTACCACAAAAATCATTTTAAAAAATAAATAAATAATATAAAAAATAAAATAAATTAAGTTTTTATATTTAAACTAGCTTTTATAATTAAGTTAAAAAATAGTACTCCTCCGGTCCTAATTATAAGACCCAATTGACTTATTTGAGGAAATTAAGGAAGTAAGTTAAGTTGGTTATTTATAATAAATAAGTGTTGTCATTCCTAAAATATCCTTACTAATTAAGTATTTGGCTAAAACTATCATTATTAGAAGGATTATCTTGGAAAAAAATGCATAAATATAAGAGAGAAAATGGATTGGGTCTTATAATTAGGACCAAATAAAAAGTCAAATTGGGTCTTATAATAAGGACCGGAGGAGTAGCATTTTTCTCTCTTTTTTTTTGCCAACAATTCATGTGTTTTAATTCACTGTCGAGTGTAGATCCATTCCCTATCCTCTATCCTCACTTCCCCTCCTGCGGGACTCCTCAATTTTAATAGTCGAGATTTAATACTTTATAAAGACATTATTATTATTATTTTTGGCTAAAAGATGCGTAAAAAATAGTAGTATATAAATAAATTTAATTTGAAAGTACAATTATTATAATAATAAATTTATAAACTGAACTATTAAAATTTAATCCGCCAGTGGTAAAGGAGATAGATGAGGGGAACGGAAGAAAAACTGCTCCCCCTCCCGCACTCGCTCACGCTAGATTCTTGGATTCTCTTGTCCCCGTCTCTCTGCTTCCTCTCCTAATCTGATTCCCCTGTGTTTTCTTGGAAAATCTTAATTCCACTTGAATTTTTCGTCCATTCTCTCTCTCTCTCTCTCTCTCTTGGTGCTCAAGAAATCTCCGTGCGAAGTTCTTGCATTTGTACTTCACAGCTCTGTGAAGGCACGCAGGGCTTCAATGGCGGGCGAAAATGCACTTAAATCCAGAGAAGTCTCAGCCATGATAAAGCAGGGTTTCATACCAGATCCAACTCTCTCTTTTTCGCCCTCCCGGGCTATCTCTATGGCGTATTCCCCTTCGTCCTCACCCTCCAAGACCTTCTCTTCACCTCCACCCCCTTTCTCTGCATCGCCTCAATCCCAAACCCTGACTCAGATTCAGACTCGTTCTGGTCAGAGCCAAACCCTCTACGAAATGATGTCAGAAGAGCAAAATCGTGAATCGAAGCTGCCCGACGATAAGCGTCGAAAGCTGCAAGATCGGGTGTCGAAGCTTCTGGATGAAGCGCCGTTTCGAGACCCTAATTGGGGAGGACCTGGTGATGTGAGGCTTACGGTTGTTGCGAGAGACGGGTTTAAAGCTTCCATGGACGTTCACAAGAGCGTGCTTACAGAGAAGAGCAGATTCTTCGCCGAGAAGCTTCGGTGTGATCGTGGAGTCTCGCACTCGGTGGAAATCAGCGACTGTGATGATGTGGAGGTGTATGTTGAAACTGTGGTATTAATGTACTTTGAGGATTTGAAGAGGAGGTTGATGGGTGAAGGGGTTTCTAAGGTTTTGAGTTTGCTCAAGGTAAATGCTTCATCTGCTTCCTTTGGTCTATCCATCTTTATTTGCATAGCACAAATGCTTCGAAAAATTGGTTCCCTTTTGGAATCATTAAATTGACTTTAAAGCATGTGCCATTGTCATTTTCAGTTGAATAATGGACAAATGATTAGTTAGTCTTGATTAATAGCTTAGGTTAATGGATAACAGCTTAATTACTCAAGGATATGACAACTGATATACCTAGGAACATTCCGTTGGATTTCTGATCATTGATATTCCGCGAATTGATGGCGCTTCTCATCATGATGAACTGCTCTCACTGCAGAATAAATTTTCCAAGCATGCTAATCTAGGAAATTAAAATGCCATTTACCATCCCAAAAGAAGCGCACCCACGCGCGCACACACATTCATGGTCACATCACAACTTAATACTTTCCGAGAGAGTCACACTTGATGTAAAGCACCCGATCTTCTCTTCCCTTAAATTTCTACCCTATTCAGTGGGTCAGTCTGCCTTGTGATTGCCATCCTCATCTTTTGAATTTCATCAACATTTTGCGAATAGGCAACCCTGAGAGTGACTTGTTCGTTTAGTGAACGTTATTTTTCACCTCTTCTTTCTATTGTTTTTTTTTTTGGTTAAATTTTTATTGTTTATTTTTTGATGTCTAGGCTTGTGACCTACTTATTTTCTAATATTGGCTTAGCTTTTGTTGTAGGTATCAGCAGCTATCATGTTTGACCTCGGTGTTATGTCATGCCTGGAGTATTTAGAAGCTGTTCCTTGGTCCGAAGATGAAGAGGCAGAAGTCATATCTCAGATAGATCATCTTCAGCTTCATGACCCTGGAACCGAAGTTCTCCTCAGAGTATTATCTGACCCATCTACTTCTGTAAGAACCGATGACATATTTGTGAGCCTGCTGAGTGGTGTTCTGCAGGCAAAAGATGACAAAGCTCGTAGGGAAATGAAAACCCTCATATCTCGTTTGCTTAAAGAAGCATCGGACGATAGCAGCAGACTAGATGTATCTAAAGACACGCTTTATCATCTTTGCCATAGATGCCTTAGTTCTCTTGTTCTGTGCTTATCTGAAGCTACTAGCATGGACGAGAATCAAAATCGGGGAGCTTTGATGAGTGAAATTACTCGTGAAGCAGACAATATTCAGTGGATTGTTGAGATTTTAATTGGTAAAAAAATGGGTGATGATTTTGTCAAATTATGGGCAGATCAGAAAGAGCTCGCTATGCTTCATTCAAAAATTCCAACCATATACCGCCATGAGATCAGTAGGATCACAGCCCAACTGTGTATTGCCATTGGAAGGGGACAAGTGCTGGTGCCAAAAGAAACGAGATTTTCCTTGTTGTCGACATGGCTAGATGCTCTTTATGAAGACTTTGGATGGATAAGGAGATCTTCCAGAGCTGTTGACAGGAATCTGGTTGAGGACGGATTAAGCCAAACTATACTCACATTGCCTTTACTTCAGCAGCAGGCTGTGTTACTTAATTGGTTTGATCGCTTTCTTAACAAAGGAGATGACTGTCCTAATATTCAGAAGGCATTTGAGATTTGGTGGAGAAGGGCTTTCATCAGACAGTATTCAGCTGAGCAGGATGATTCCCAGTTGCAAATAACTGTTTGTGATTACCCTCCCTGAAAGGTATGTTAAAGCTCTTAACTGAATATAAAAACAAATTGAATGATTTTTGTACATAACTGGTGACTCTTATACACACTCCTGCTGACTGCTGTCTTCGGCTATGATCGATTTGCTTTGGTATTTTTTTTGCCCTGTGACGGAGGCATATATTTAAGGGTAGACGAATTGGGAAATATAGAGGAAACGGAAGGGGCAAAAAACGGAGGGGGCTTGCCATTGACCTCTCTTGTTTAGTTGTTATGAACATCGCCATGGACGACCCTCTTCCCTGTTTAACTTATTGACCTCTAAGCTCTATCGTTAATTCGTTATTTGTTATTTTCTGCCAAACTTTTGTAGGGGCAAGTTGAGAAGTACTTTTGAAGGCCCTTGTACAAATTTTCAGATGCGATTGGTTTTGGTTAAAGGCTGATACTCCCCCAGCATCATTAAACTCACGAGTTTTAAATCAATGATTTATAATTTTCCGATAGGCCCAAATTTTACTTCAACATACTTTCATATGTCTCATGTTTAATTTTCTTTGGCTTTTCAAGTAACCTATTATATTTACATTGCTTGTAGAGTCCTTGAAGAGTAGAAATGTAGAATGCTTTTTTTTTTTTTTTTTTCATTTCAATGAGAAAAATGAGTGGTTATTTTTTAAAAAACATTTTAAAATGTTTATACTACATTATCAGCTCTCTTCAAATAAAAATTCTTAAAAGTGTGCTGGTCACAATATTATGAAATTTTATATATTAAACTATGTTGTATGAAATTTAAAATGAATTATATGACTTGTAAATAGTAATTCAATAAATTTATATTAATAATCGATATTGATATAACTTTATATAGAAACTACTTATACCAGTCATTGTAAATTATTTTTCACACTCCATACTTCGTGTAGTATAGAAAATCAACGTCTAGCTATTACATATATTGACATTGATGTTGCTGGTAGAGCTATTTTGGATCATAGGCTAAATTCCCAATCAGATTTGAACTCACTGGCTTGATCTGATTTCTGCACTTGAAATAGTTTTATGGTACGCGTAAAATCTTTTTGACAATCATCAAAATTATGGGCATTATGAGCAATTCATTAATATCCCCCCTCCCCCCCCCCCCCCCGGCTTTAATTGGGAGCAATAGCTAACCAGAAAAAGCAAAAAAAGGATTCGAGTTTCTCTAATTATTAATGATAGTTGATTTTTTTTTGACAAGTCATTTGATATAATGTTTATTATATTTTTCCAATGTTACCCTTGAAGTCTGTTGGAGAATGTAATAATTTTCATTACTTTTTTAATGCATGAATTTAGATATAGACGAAGTAAAAAAATTTTCTAAGTTAAATGATGTAAATATCTTTTTAGTTCCAATAAAATACTCGTAAATGCCTCATAAAAAGATCGAAAAGAGTGAAATTGTATCTTACCACAGCGGAATACCAAATTTAATACTGAAAGGCCAAAAGGGTGAGGAAATTTCACACTTTCAATAGAACAAGCAAGCATACTTAAGTTTTAAATCCTGCTTGATCCTGGCAAAAATGTGAACAATAATTTTCCCAATCTTACTTCTCCTTGATTACAGTTATGGGCATGTTTTTAATTTCTAGACAGCACTTTATTGTCATCATTGTTTTCAGTGAAAGGCTGATTAGAAAATCACATTTTTTTAATAAATTTAAAAATATCAACTCTCTTTCAAAACTAAAAGGTTGGTTAATTTTACCCTACATTTAGGACAGGATAGACTATTATTTGCAAATAAGTGCCATAATTTTCCATGACACTAAGAACTATGTGCATCACATTCGGGAGAAAACGAGCAGGGAGCTATCTCTATCGCATTCTGGAGAAAACGAGCAGAGAGCCATCTCCATCACATTAGCACTTTGAAACTGAGCATAAATAAACACATAACATAATGCTCCATATTTTTAGTTTCAAGATTAGAAAAGCCTCCCATTTCTTTCCTCCTTATTTATTTTTCATAGTATTATAATAAATTATTGTTATAATCATGTCATCAATTCTAATCATTCTTAACAAAGAATCAGCTATATGAGACCTTTTGCGTCAGCCTAATTGCACAAAATCGAACGCACATGGCGCATTTGGGGGAATAAAATAGAAGTGGAGTATAATTATAAAATATAAACCCTATATACAATTAATTCTCTTGTATCAGTCTCTCCTCATTCCCCACGACTGGAAATGTTCTCATGCCTTGAAATTTCTGCATCTCTATAAAAACGTTGAGCCATGGGAAGAGTTTGTAATCTTAAGAACAGGCAGGCACGCCAAAAAGTGAATTTCTGATGCTTCAGTACTCTGCACAGAATGATCTTATCTTCACAGCAATTATACAACTATGAACTCAAGACAGAATAGGATCGGGACCTTGACACAGCGCCGGAGGATCCAATCTGTAAAACAAATAGTCAAATAACCGCACATGTAATAAATTTTTGCAGCCAAAATCTCATTAAATCCACACCAAAAAAAAAAAAAAAGCTACCCTATCAAGCCATTTAGCAGAGATAGGGTTCTATTCAGGTATGGAGTTATTTATGGGCATTACAATTACACCCCATGAGTAACCCGTTATGGTGAAATTAAGCGAGCACTCTCACTTCAAAATGGCAAATGTCCTATATTGCCCACCAAGAGACTATATTTGCAGATGAAATCATGCAAGCATGTAAAAGAGGTCCACCTTAAAAACCCAGCATCACAAGTAACTCATTCACGAGCAATGCATTAACTCACCTTTGTTTAACTTTGATCATTCCGGTGCCTATTTGAATCGGTATGCCCATGATTATGCATTCACTTACTCCTTCAATCTGATCATCTCTTCCATGCACAGAAGCATTGAAAAGGTGATCCGCAGTCTTCTCGAATGATGCGAGCATTAATACACTCTTGTCCATCTTTTGGATTCCAAATCTTGTTATTCCAAGGACTTCACCCTATTTTCACAAATCCGTTTAGCAAGTTTAAATCTAATATGTCTTTTGAAATCAGAGATGCAGTCATAAGTCGTTATATTTTCAAATTACTCACCCTGAAGGTCATCACATCGGCCAAAAGCATCATATGGCGTGCATCTATACTCATTCCATGGCTTCCCATTGTAAACTTTATCTCTTCAATGATACACTTTCTGGCTGCTTCAATTCCCAGAGTCTGCTCTACTTCAATGATATGATTACTAAGCGTTTTACGTCCTTCAACTCCCTCAATGCCCATAACCTCTTGAAGGCCCGTGCTGGAAAAAGAAAACACATAAATTAAGATATAGTGTGTCAACAATATAAACCACATAATGCAACTTATATACTGAGCATTTTTCATATTATAAACTACAGTGACACAATTTTGCTTTTTCTTTCTTGCATTGGTCATTATAACATAAAGAGGTTCTTTCACATGTATCCAGCAAGGCAGCAATGTCAAACAGAACACACACATCCAGCATTATGACTGAAAAGGTTTGGTAGTATTTATTGAAAAAAGTGAAACATGACGAAACAATAAGATGAATCAACAAAGTTCCCGTTAAACTCCGCAGCTTGAGAAAATAATATGCCTCCAAGAATATGTTTATTATTTTGGCAGGAAAAAAAAAAAAAAGCAGATGTTTATGATGCGAGGAAGAAAGCAAAAACCTTAAAAGAATGACCGTATTGAAAACAATCTTATGGACTAACCCTTCTACCAACAATTTGAATTTCTCCATCCTTGTCACTTTATCTTCTTCTTTACTGATAACAACACGTTCCGCAGTCTTAATTCCCTGCAATTTAGAGACGAAAGCTGGATATATTCTTTCCCATCCTAAGATAAATTTAACAAATAAAGGGAAGACAGAACACTGTATTATCTTCATCAAGTATCAAAACCATTAAGAAAATCACAAGAGCTTGCCTTTACTACAACTGATGGAAGCAAATTCTTCAGATAGTTAAGTTGAAAATTGATTTTACTTCTATCTGCATCAGGGGGTACAACTTCAAGCTTTTTGATATCCAAAACCTTAATGTGCTGCAAAACAATAAAAGCTCTAACTATTGGACTCATATAGGGGTGAGGAAATCATAATCACTTGGAAGATTAATTACCTCTGGCTTCAATTTTATTTTTGGAGCCTGCAAAATCGATTCCCTTACAATATTAGCATCTATATTCAATTGTGCATCTTGGATTCTTTCCATGTCGAGTGTGATAACAATTGATGCTAATCTTGACGTCATCACAATTTTTATGCCCTTTGCTATCTGTATTGCACAAGGCAGCTAAAGATCAGAAAATTGAAGTAGAGAATGAAAAACAGGGGCCCAACCAAGGCACTACAAATGACGAAAATACAATTATACATGCACTAACTGGACCATCTTGCCATTTATTATTAAAAACAACTTTGGAAACCCTACGGAAAGATTATCAATTTGACTTGATAGGGGAAATACAAAAAGGGAAAGAAAAACCTTAACCTTAAGTATACCACCCAAAAAAGATATTCTACATATCCAAAACCTATGGTAATAAATAGAACAGGGGGGGGGGGAACTCAACAAGTCAACTTTGTTAAGAATTTCAACAACGCAATTTATCACTCTAGCAACAGCAGAACTGGGGTGGTGCCTTTAGCAGGTCTGGGAGGGGTAAGATGTTGTGGGAAAACAGTTGATAAGAGGAAGTATTTCTTGCCTTTTAAGCCCTTTGCATTTGGGCATCTAGTCAGTTTTTATTTTATTTTTGTGGCTAGTCATGCACTGTTCTCTTAGCCAATCTACTTATTCACATATGGCCTTGGATACCAAGCCTCTTGAGTTGCATTATGGGGGCAATATGAGTAACTATTTAAACACTCACAGCCAAAAAAAAAAAAAAAGCCCGGGGCAGGGGCATTAGGCTCCAATGCACATAACATAAAATATGCCCCTGGATCAAGCATAGAGATGAAAGAAAAAGGCCTCCTATTACTAGTGAAATAACACCATGCAATAAAAATTAGTCCTAATCAAGAAAAGATCCATTGTTGTAGCTTAGGAAAGCTAACACAGCTTGATATTGTTGTTCATGAAGAGTTGGGTTTCTTTACTACTCACTAAACATACTTGCAACAAATAAGACCCTCAATGTAAACCCAGTAAAAAATAAACGATACGGATCATCTTCCCATGAAGCTATTTACCAGCGATATTATTTAAAACCAGCTAAACTTATAAAATAGTGCTGAGAAAAATGATATGTAGATGCTGATGTGAATGAAAGAATAATTTGGTTTATTTGATGTTTGAGGCTTTCACCATGTATCAGGATACAAGTCCATTCTCTTGCGCATACCTGGCCCAAGTTTGTTTTCTCAATGCGACCTTTTACCATCCTCGCCGTATTAGCATTATCATCATTCTCAAGTATTGCAGTAATGATAGGTGTGCTGATTCTTTTGGCGCCATTTATTATTTCTTTGATACGTGGAACTCCAAGAGTAACATCTAAAGATGAATTAAGGGATAGCAGTCGGACCAAGAAAGAGACAACTAAAGCTCTAGGAAATTATTAAATAGAACAGATCCATTTTGTGAGGTGTTTTTAGCAAATAAAATCCCCCTGCCCTAGGTTCCCCACCCCAAAAATAGAAGGAATCTCTGCCAGTACTAAAAGCACTAAAAAAATGATTAGTCAAGGATACTCATGCTTGCAACTCCAGCAAAGTGGAAAGTTTTCAAAGTCATCTGTGTCCCAGGCTCTCCAATACTTTGAGCACCAATGGCACCAATTGGAGTTCCAGCCTCAATCCTTTTTGAACGGTATCGAGAAAGACATATATCCAGGAAAACCTAAGATTTTAGCAGGTTAGAGGTTAAAACAATGTTTTGAAGCTAATAAGAATGTAGAAACATGGAAGGAACTAAAAGACCGATAGAAAACAAAACTACTTTCTATACAGGAAAGATAGGTATAATGTTAAGGAAATGTCCATAGATACCTCTAGCTGTTTATTAGTAACACCAGATATTCTCTGAATAAATTTTTTCTGATTTCTAGTGTCATCATTGACGAAAGTTTCATCTGTTTCTGATAAGACTCCAATGTTATCTCTGATGAAGGACTGGAGAGAATTGATGAATTCAGCAGAGCAACCCACATCAGAGCTTATATCATCCTCTGAAGCTCCTTTCTCTCCCAACATACCAAATTTTGACAGTTTGTTTTGCACTACTTTACATACATCAGAGGAGGATAGGATTTCATCATCTCCATCACTGGGACATATAGCCTAAAAGAAAAAGAATTCCTGTAAATCCTTAGAGAATATTTCTAAATCTCTGTAAACAATAAAAGCAGCTTCCAGACCTTGGTTCTCATAAACAACCGCTCAAAATTCAAAGGTTTTCCATCTTTCCCTTCCATGCCAGCTGGATCCATGCCATCATCTCCATAGCAAAATTGGACTACAGAACTATTAGCGTTTCTTACGGTGTTATCATAGTGGACATACAAGTCCTCCAAAGCTTTTATTAATCTACGAGACATATAACCAGTGTCAGCAGTTTTCACCTGCAAAGCCACAAAGAACAAAGAGATTACAAATGGCTCCAACTTTCTTTTTCGCTGAGTCAATGTTCTCCATCCTTTTCTGCTAAAAAGGGCTTCTATATTCATAACATGCTAATCTGTTACCTTTTAAGAAATTTTTTTCATTGATTAACTTTGGGCAAGAGAAAGCACAAGAAAAATTCCACACAATAACTCTGAATAGGTCAAGTGGCAGAATAAAAAAAACATGAAGCCCCAAGTGAATATAGCTGGTTCTGGTGAAAAGTATTATGTCACTCATAGGTCCATCTATTATCCATAACACTCCGCTAGTTGTAAGTTATGAAAGCAGATAATATAAAATCTAAAGATTTAAAATTACTAAACCGAAACAAGTACTTTCATCACGGCATACTGTTATAGCAACAACAAAAAAAAAAAAAAAAGAGACCATACCGCAGTATCAACCAGCCCTTCTCGCCCTCCCATTGTATGGAAGAAAAACTCTGTAGCTGACAATCCACTATAAAAGGAATTGGCTACAAAACCTTTCGCCTGCATATAAGCAATATAACACACTTCAATGTAACTGATAGCAGGAACCATAATTGCTACGTGTGATGACAATATGCACTACGTTTTCAAAATCATGGAAGATTATAAGGATGTGAGCCAATTGAGTTCTAGATACCATACAATACAAATTCAACAAAAGAGTACAGTGCAACTGAAAGTAAACATACTGCAGGAGTTTTTGCTTTTCTTGGGAAATGAGGAAGACTCCGATCCATGAATCCATTGGGGGCTCGACGACCCCCAACAGACTGTTGACCAACACAGGCAACCATTTGGCTGATATTTATAGGAGATCCTTTGGAGCCGCACTGTGACATGATCAAGGGACTATTTCTCCAGTGCAGTGTTTGCATGCAAACCTGGGAAAAAGTTATAGAACAAAGCAATTAGCATTCACCAATGATCCAACGCCTAGGAAGCAAACTCACCTAATGACAATTAAATTATATCAGAAGAGTACTTTTTATTCATAAACAATTGCTAAAGTTCTTAGCAAAAGATTCAGCATCACCACTCAAGAAACAAGAGGCATTTACCAGAGAAGCCCCAGAAACAAAGTCAGACACAAAGAATCTCTGCTTTAGAAAAAGAAAAATGAATACCTTCCCTGCAGTATCTCGAACACCGTTCAATACACCAGTTATCAGAGCCTCTAATGTTTGAGCAGCATCACAACCGGCTTTGAGTTCTAGCTTTCCTTTATTGAAAGCCTCGATAAAATCGTCACATTTTCTATAGTTATCTGAAATTGTATCATCTTTCTTGTTGATCAATACCTCTTTTGGTTGGACATCATCAATGCCTATGGAGAACCCACGATTGCCTATCCATCGAGCACTGCATCCAATAAAAAACCATGCATATCATGTAGGTAGAATCAACCCAAACAATGGATGCAAAATACAATAACAGAATAACTAAGCTTACCACTATAAACAGAAGTTATATTTTCACCATCATATATATTATTCAATTTTTCAAAACAAAAATTGTAAACATGAAAGTCTGCTTGATGAAGAAAGCAAAACAGTACAAAATGCTATCAAACTAAACCCTCCTATAAGACTGAATGTAAATATTAAACACACTTCTGCAATCTTAGCAAGTCCTGAAAAAAAACAACTATAAATTGGAATGACATTCTTCAAATTCCCTGTCATTCACCAGAAGTGGATCATTGGGCACAGTAACAGGTAAGGTATAATTAAATGAGAATTAGAACAGTGACCCACATGGCAACTTTTTCATAAAGGACCGAAGAATAATGAGGGTTCCAAGTGCAAAATTTTTTATCGAGGATCCATATTTAAATTTATCACTCTAATCTAAAACTGCTCAGATAGCACACAAATTAAAATGGTTAATGGAACATGATAATTAAATTACTAAACTAAACTGAAATCACAGTAGATATATACAACACTAGAGGACACCGGTAATTATCTTCCCACTGCACAATGCTATGCAAATTCCCCCAGGCAAAAAAAAAAAAAAAAAAAATAATAATAATAATAATAATAATGTAACATGCAATATGATAATAAACTGACAAACCCAAATATCTAGCAAAAAGAATTACTCCCTCTAATCTTTACCACGTGGCTTAGCATCTAATGATACGGACCAAATTATACCCCATAAATGAGGGTGTAAAAGGAATAATTCAATACATAGACCAGACAAGGGGTCATTGTTTCTTATATTCAGGACAAAAGAATACTACCAAAAGTTTCTAATGAAAAGAACCCGAGGGAGTACCACACTAATGCCAACCATTAAGCTAGATATTTACCTCAACTTGGCTAAACGGTTCATGCAAGAGGCTGCAGCATGCGCTTTATAGTCTCTTAGCAGAACCGAGAAAAGTCCATCCTTATTTCCATTTCCTGATATCAAGCAAAACCTATCAGGCCACCCATTTATATGATGACATAAAGCCGTTTGCAGGTTAAAAAAAAAAACAGTGAATAAGATTCATAACATGTTAGGCAAGCAAAAGGTTAAACAAAAAATTGAGAGGAAAAATCAGGCTCAATATGCTCGCAATCTTTATTCAATCTACCTCTTTCAAGAGAGAAGCGGAGCATAAAGTGCTTTGCATTTGGAAGTGTGCAGTCTTTGTTCGTTTGTGGTGCCTTTGGTTAGAATAGAATGCAAAGGTTTCCAACTAATTTCTTCTGCCAACTGTTCTTCAGAAGAGGATTTTTTTTGGGTTTCAGCAAATGGTCTTCAGAGGGGGGATCCCTAGAGGAACCATCAAAGGGACTGAAGTCTTTTTCAGGTGATGCATTAGAATGTGCTAATGATGTTCTGAGTTTAATTTGGGATCAAAGCAAAACAGGTAAATATTGGAGGGGAGGGGAGAGGCCTTGGAATGACTAGTTGATAGATACAAGCTAATTTAGCATATTCCAAATGTAACAATAATTTTCTGATCCACATGCTTAACATTATTTTAAGCCACTGATACTTCTAACAGACATTGAAAGTGAAAAACCAAGAAAAAGGCCTTTATTCAGAGCTACATGCATAGCATAGAACATCACCAAATTTATGACTCCAAATGCTAAAAAACCATAAAACTGACGGATGAATTTGTATATTCATAACTGAATAAATATCAGCATTTTGTATGTACAGTCTTCTTGTGAAGAAGGGGAAAAAAGTATAGAGCAACTAACCTAAAGTAACCTTTCCAAGTTGCCCAGAGATCAGCTCACTGTTACGAATATAAACAAAACCATCATTAGGACACATTGTTTTCAACTCTCTTTTCCTGTCATCAAGCTTTGTGCTGTAGATTTTTTCCTTAACAGTAAGATTCACATAGGTCCTCACATTTGCATGAGAGCGCATTAGAACACTAAATATCTGTTTCCCACTCCAAAGCTCTACTGGCTGCCAAGGGAAAAAAACCATGATCAAAACTAATATGCTGAATTAATAGGCAATTGGCATTGCCATGCTGGGACAGATTTTGCTTCATTCTGTCATCACAAACCCAAATATATACAGAGAGCATGGCAGACAAGCATCCTACATAAAATAGTACTTAAACAAGGGCATCCTACTTGAAGGAAACACAAGTACCCAATGCAAAAACAAATGACGTACAAATAGATAATTACTTTTTGATGCTTCTCTGAATGAGACTGCTTATGAGTAAAGCATGTGAGTACTGAGTACTAAAGAGAAACCATGGAAGTTCAAACATTCTGACAAAACAAAAAATTGAACAGCTTATAAGGGTTAGGCTATAACAATAGACACACCTTAGCGCCAAAATCTCTGCACTCAATCAAGATAAAAGGATCTAAGCTCTAGGGCCAAAGTAACATTCAGTAAAAACCCAAGAAACTCTTAATGCAACTGGCTGCTGGGTAAGGTAAAAAGAAATTGTCCTTAGCACAACATAAAACAAGACAAATCAACTGAGAGACAGTTTTGTTAGGTCTATATCCTATTAAGCATCAAACTCCGCCTATGTTGCACAGCTAGTCCCAGACCAGGATAAAGGAGGGTTGTGTTAAGCCTTTGAAAGTCAACATAAAACTCTGTCGAATCTTTTATTACATGGATCCACAAAATTGTGCTACTGCTAGGTCATTACTTGGAAGTAACGCATTGTATGGCTCGAGTAAAGTGACAAATGAGCAAAAGCCACTGCATCGTGGCACATATGTAGTGTTAAATGAGCAAGGACTACAACACTCTAATGGATGGAGGTAGTTAAAGAAGTTAGTTCATAAAACTAAGATCAGATTTGGCACTTGGAACATTAGGACTCTGCATGGAAAACTAAACGGGTTGGAGACAAGTCTCTCAAATTTACTAATGGCTTCAAACTTTGGTACATGAGAAAGCTAGGTACAAGGAATGGAGCAGGTATTATTGTTGATAATGAATGGAGAAAGAATGTGGTGGAAGTCAAAAGGATCGAAGATAGAATCATTTCTTTAAGAATGATTGTGGGGAAGGATACTATCAATGCGGTTAGTGCTTAATGATGTTATTGAGTAGGATATTTCAATTAACAACATATTCAAAGACGTCTTTGAAAGAGCTCAATGGTGTTGTGCGATCCATATAGCCGACCCCACTTAATAGGATAAGGCTTTGTTATTGTTGTATATCCTATTAAATATCACTACCAAAATAAAAGAATTGAGCTTCAAGGAAACTTTGGTTGAAAAAGGGGTTTTTCCTTTCACTCTATTTGGGGAGTGAGGGAATGGGTAATCCAGCAGAAAAAGGATTAATAAGAGAATGCACTGGAAGAATCAGAGTTGCAAATTCCATCCATGTCAGAAGGCAGTCAACTACATAGGTCGAATCTGTCAAGCAAAGTAATTCCAATTCAGAGGCTTCTCTGCCAGCAACTTCTAAAAAAATTGGAAACTTCCACAAATGTAGGTAGAAATTAAGAAGCGCCTCCCAAAGTCTTATAGTCTAATAAACATCCCAGAAGTTCATTCAAATGATCTGTGGTCACAGCTATACATTTTCAGAGAAATAAATAATAACAGTTTTCAAACTGTAGGAAAACAGCAGGAAATATAAGAAAGCTATACATGGGAATGGACATAACTAACAAAGGCAGAAGCAGAAAGTCAAGGTAAACGTATAAAGCCTATTAAATAGCAAAAGTTCATATAATAAAGGCATACATAGATAAATAAATGTGCAACTGTTTTTACCCACACAGACACTCGCAAGCTTCTACTCTCACCTTTATAACTGCTGGAGTTGGCAGATCGACAATATCCATGGCATCACCCATGTATGAACAAATAAGTGCACAAGTAGAACGATCATAAAAAGTATCTTTTCTTGTTATCAAGAAGGAGGAGGTTAAAAAGTCTTGAGTAGAGGCAACCAGAATTTCCCCATTCTTTGGTGTGCATAAATTGTTTTGCACCTGGAGATACGAAGTCTTAGTGAGATCCACATACAATTATTTATTAACAAAACCAAAACAGCAAAATTCTCCTAAAATTTTATATATTTTTAGCCCCCTTAATGCAGAATAGAAAGGGAACAAGAAGGATTCAAAAAACAAATTCATAATGGTAATCAAGTATTAAGGGAGAAAATATGCAAAGACTACATAATGCCCTATAAAGAGAACCCTAAAAAATTCAAGTATACTAAATCACAAAACGATCTTCAATTCATCTATAAATACAACAAAATGAATAACAACACAAAAGATCAGAGGTGATCTTTTTAGGGTGGCCCCTTGCAAATTTACAAAGGGATTGAAAAACTCTTGAACAGATGATTCTGTATTGCTTCGCTTAAGGAGGAATTTTTTGTCCTTGACTTTTTTGTTTTCCTACTCTTCTCTTTAATAATTATATCATCTACACCGCTTTTTTGGTAGGGCACATATCCCTTATTCCTGCCTATTTATCAATCCAAATGGCTACACATCCATTTTGCACATTACCCCTGGTTCTCCGACTCATTCAGAGTCCCCTTATGGCTTAATCTGTTGAGATTTTACCACATTTTGTTGAGCATATTTACTTGATAACAAAGCAGCATAAAGAAGAAAATGCAAACAGAAGTAACTTGATATTTATCCAAACCAAACAAACTAGAACCAAAAGTATCATAGGCAATTAACATCCAGTCCTCTATTATAACAGGATCTGTTGCACTTACCCCCATCAATAAAACAGCCTCTGTTCGTGCCTCCTCAGTCTGCGGGACATGTAAATTCATCTCATCACCATCAAAGTCAGCATTATATGGGTTGCAGACCGATTCATTGAATCTCAAAGTTCTCCAAGGCATAACTCTAGCCTGCAAGGGCAAATTAAAATCGATGCAATGAGAATCAGATTTTACACAGTGAATCATAGTAGAGTTTAGTGAATTACCCTATGACACATGATAGACATCCGATGCAAGCTTGGTTGTCTATTGAAAAGAACAATGTCTCCATCTTCCAAATGACGATCAACAATATCACCATACCTCAATTCATCTGCAAGGCGCTTCCGAAAAGAAATTTTTAAGGACCTGCAATAGAATGCAATTGGATATAATTTATTCACAAAAGCATGTAACTGACACTAATTTAGTGGCAAAAGAATCATGTGTGTGTGTGTGTGAAAAACAATGGAAGTTATAAACACCTCGTTGGACCACCAGCATGTCTAAGCAACCTTGCACCTGGATACTTATCAGCGCCATTTCTCACACACTGTCTCAACTTCTCAATGTTGTGACTAGAAACACACTCAGGAAAAGTCAATATACGAGCCATATGTATTGGTATTGCGACCTGAAACAAATCAATGTCAAGAAATAATCATGAATGCAATTTTTCAAGAACGTCAAAGAGAGTTGGAAGACAAAGAGGCAATTCCCTGTATTATTGATTTCAAAGTTATAAATCACATTTCCATACCACTATCATTGCCTTACTCTTTTCATTGAACATTGCTATGCTTTACAAAGTAGCTTAACTCTTTTAGTGTTTTGGCTTATGCTTCATGTCCTAAGAATTCGTCAGAACATATAAATGGTAAAAAGGCTGGTCAAGCTTTACCAACATAACTGACCTCAGAAATTTTCAGATTAGGATCCGGTGAAATGACTGTCCTGCCAGTAAACTCAACACGTTTCCCTGATAAGTTGCCACGAAAACGCCCCTGCTTTCCTTTAAGGCGTTGAACAAAGCCAGCCAACGGCTTGGCACGTTGCATATTAAATGGAATACCACGCACATCACTATTTATGAATTGAGCAACCTCAACTTGGAGTATTTCCCAGCCATCCTAAGCCAATATCAACAGAATAACAACATTACATTCTGAAACCCCAGGAAACCTTCTCATGCCAGAAGAACAGCCCAGAGGGGAGCTATCAATGTATTAAAATCCAGGGAAAAGAAAAGAGCTAGCCTTCAAACACCATTTTAGTCTTCACAAATTTTACCACCACTGGACATATTTTCCTATCCATTGCATAGAATTTGAGAAATAAGCTGCATTGTTCAGATTGTGAATAGTGCTGCTTTCACATTTTATATTGATATACAACATTGATGATTGATGAATTCAAAAGGAACATCTATCACCCCAGAAAAATGGGTCCAACACGAACATAGAGCAGTGTAATATAGCATAAGTCTAAAAACAATAGAAGCACAAGGTCTAAAGGCTCAATAAGATGCTTTTTTAATAAACTACATAATACGCATGTGATGAAAACCAAAAAAAAAAAAACCCAAGAATCTTTAATGTTTCAAAACCTGTGTGTATCAACCTGTAATATTACGAAAAAAAATCACAATATTCAATTATATCAACTATGTTTGACAAGGAAACAGGACCACTCAAAAAGTTTCACTATACCAGAGATTTGAATGCCCCGCTAGCTTCCTGTAATTCATGGCGAAGGGTAGCATTTGCTTGTATTATTTGCCTTAGCCTCTCTGTTGCATCATTTTCATTGCTACCACAAATTTAGGAGAACAACTATAAGCATCAGTGAACAGTTGAGCTATACGATAAGTGAATAGTTCTGCTACCAAAACTTAAACTAAACACAAACAAACACATATATGCTGACATTACCTCTGGGAACCATCCATTATAACTGAAGGTCGAATAGCTATAGGTGGCACAGCCATGTTCGTCATAATGAATTTCTCAGGTCTGTCTGCAAGATCAAGTAATTCACAGTCCTACAACAAAATGTGATTAAGAAATCTAACTTGAGACATGACTAAATATCCATCATTGGATATATGTCATCTTTAAGAATACAACAGTGACCATCCCACTTTCCTGAAGGAAAGAAAAGAAAAATAAAAAATCGCAGCCAAGAAGACTTGATTATAAACTCAAACCTCATCACGCATCCTTTTGAAGAGGGAAAGAACTCTGTGAGGGTTTAGAACATGAGTAGTCAAGTTGATGGGAGCCCTAGACTCTCTTGTATGAGAAATTGCAGATCGAAACTCTTCCACATTGCCATCAATACATTTTGAAGTATCATGCATAATGCCTAGACTAGACACAAGCTTCTTCACTGGACCTGTATGCAAGTGAGAAGCCATGTTAGCTACTTGCTCGTTGCTTCATGTCTCCAAGACTGAAAGCAAAGTTAGTAGGATAAATGACAAGAACGCAATGTTCACAAAATTTAATTTTTGAAAGAACAAGAGCAAATAATCAATGTCTTTATTATAAACACAACGCAGAAAAATTGGGGGCTCATAACCATAGGTTCTATAGTTATTGGGTGGTAATAATCTAAATAATCCAGTCCATGATGTCAGTATTTAAAACAAAGATTCAAAAAAGGCTCATAAACAACGGGCTCCAAATTTATGGGAACAGTTATGTTTTATGCACAAATAAAGGATTTAAAACACCATAATACAACCTTCAAGTAGAATACAAGCATTGAAACATATGGAAAGGGTTCAAAGTCCAAACCATTGATAAATCCACATCTTAGACACTTCACCGCTTTGCTACTTGACATGGCACTACATTTATCAATAAGACTTTTAGCTATTGCAATCTTCTTCAAAGGCTCTATTTTGGGGCTTCTCATCTTCTTCAAGCGTTCTTTACAAGAATCTTCATCTAGGAGAATGCGGGCACAGCCCTGTAGAGAAATCACCGAATAATCAGACTTGATTCAAAAACAGTCATATACAACAAGATAATGATTCAAGACTACTACGTCAGAAAGAGCATGCTATGCTCTGCCCCAAAATTTATGTCAAATGGAGAATGGAGAAAGAATGCTTGATTAAAAGAGAATGAACATTATCGATTTGTATTCCGTGCACACTTAAAAATGAACATCTGAAGGATGAGATCAATTTTCAATTTATTCCCTTCTTTTGCAGGGAAAAGTTTTGACACCAAAAAAGATAAAATTAATCACACTAAAATTAGAATTCAGCAGACTTGAAATTGTTTTAGAGACTATGGATATTAATATTGAAAATATAACACCAGCATAAATAACTACTCTTCAAAAAGCTCAGGCCCCAAGCGAACAATGGCAAGACATTCAGAACAGCATGCTAATAGAAAAAAGGGAATAAGAAAAGAAGAGAAAAAGAGAATAGACAAGAGACACTTAAACTTCCATACCTTACAAATGCACTTCAATATTTGCAAAATTTTTTCTTTATACCCAACATTGAAAACTGGAAGAGCAAGGTTTAAGTATCCGTAGTGCCCTGGACAGTCAGCAAATTTCCCATGGCATGTTGCACATGTGCAACTCTTATTAGCAGGGCCCTGAATAGAATGAAAATAAGTATTCTGTTCTTTGGAAATCATAAACTTTTTAGAGAGATATCATCGAGCAGAATGGAAGTTTGTACTAGTGTCACATTACCATGAGTTACATTCAGTATCACATTGTAAAATCTAAAAGACACTACATTTATTGCAATGCAGCACTTAAACAAAGGTACGTTGTTGTGAGTCCTAAAACATCATTAATTGAGGATTAGGATCACGTGTAGACATTGCAAAGCATGACATGCACAGATGACAGAATTATAAACATTGAACAAAACCAAGATAAACGCATAAAGACACACAGAAAAGGACTAAAACCAGGACAGAGTACCATGCGCGGATCCAACAAGCCATTCTCAAATGGCTGTCTACTTGAATCATAATATGAACCTTTTGCAACTTGAACCTCGGCAATTTTACTGATCTCAGACTCTGATAATGCCGTGAATTGCATGCTCTTGCTGCAAGAAGCAACAATAAAACCTGAAGTCAAAAGCCCTTACACACCGACAAGCAGCAGATTCAATCAAGACTAGTTATAACAGGTAAAATCCCTCACATTCTGCGTGGTCCAACATCCTCAATATATGGTTCCTTCGTGAAGGTTAGGCCTTCAGCTCGTGCTCTATACATCTTTCTCCTGGAATTGCAGAAAATAATATGGAAAGGGCTTAGTTTAACCTAGTGGGCTCTTATCAAACACGATTTATAGCAAAATCCCAATTAATCACCTTCCAGTCATTAAAAAAAACTTAAGTTAAAAAACAAAACGAAAAAGGTTATCATTGGATACCTTTTTCTATTGTGAATAGTGTCAAACACTTAAGGGGCGTCCATGACAGGTGCCTCAATTTTATACTTTGTCAATGGCCATCCAACTCTTTTAGGAAAATAATTAAGAGATGAAATTTAAAGGGGCAGACACTTCAATTAGATATTTTCCAACGGATGAACCGTATTACAACAGTTAAAATAGTCTATACTTGACACACAAATGATTACTCATTTTTTTACGTGGGGGAGGGGGGATTTAATGACATTGAAACACAAAACTTTTATGTGGGCGAGGGGGGATTTAATGACATTGAAACACAAAACTGAATCACAACCGTAGAGCTATGGGGCAAACACTATATTCTGTAAAAAAATAAAATCTACCAGCAAACCACAAAATTTGAAGTCCAATTTCAAGCTCAAGATGTATACCAAACACCACGGTGGGGAATGCAGAAGCAAGAAATAATAGCTTCAAAATCCCCATGACTCATTTTTCAACCTAAAATTCCAAAGCCGAAGATGGCAGTAGAAAAGAAGGCACGGAGCTTTCAAAGATGAGTTACATGATCAGAGGCTTCTGAGGGGCCAAAAAGAAAGCACAAATCTTTGCCTCAATTTTTCTGTGGACTAATTTAGAACCACGCAAGTGGAACTGAGAAGCTGAGTAGGTCAGGCCTCACAAAGGATAGAAGAAAATTTTAAATCTTTTTGACAAAAATATTGTTTACTTAAAAAAATAATACATATTCATCTTCCTTAAGACGACCCTTCTCATATAAAAGAGAGCACAATACTGGTATAATTTCAAATGTTGTTCCTGGCATGAAATATTAATAGCAACACCATCTCGTTATTAACTCTGTTCTAGATTGTACCACACAAAAAGAAAATGTACCTATTAGCACTGAAAAACTAATGTCAAAAAATTCAAACTCCTCAAATTGAACTTTTTAGCCAAAGAACTTCAAAGCTTGATTGATAGAAACAGAACATCGTCGTGTGAAAAATACAACATTGCACAAAGACTGGCCGCATTATTTGCTCCCTTGTTTGGAATTTATTACAAAACAATAATCCCTTCCAAATATTAAAGAATAGTATCCAATGAATTTATATAGCTAAGTTACTTATGTTTGCGTTCATGCCTGGTGTTCAAGGCAGTTTCAATTAAATTGCTAACCTTGTAACCTTGTGAAAGAACACTTGTTCTTGTAAAACAAATGGGAGCATGATTTATTTTTGCCCAACGTTATCTCTTTGCGGGTAAGCATAAGTCGTATTGAGTATAAAAAGAAGAAGAGTTGAGACCAGTCAATAATGTTTTCACTAAGCATCCAGAAAAAGAAGACAGCTTTCAGAAAATGTGAGACATTAGATTTAAGACCTCCTAGCCGTATTCCTCTGATAATCAAATATGCCACAGGCCCCACTTAAAAGATGAGAGAGAAAGATAAAGATAATCCACGGTGGCTTCCAACAGTTTTCTTTTCAGGGGGAGGGGTCACCTTATCTCGTCGAAGCAGCGATCAGTGGCAGTTGGCGGCGGCGGGTGTGTTCGGCGATCGTGGCAGCGACGGTAGCGAAGAAGACTGTGGTAAGGTGAACTTGTGGGGAAAGGTCGCGTCTCGCAAGGGCGGGAGATGACAGGGCATTGTGTATGGAAAGGGAGTTATGTTATTAAATATATAAATAAATTGGTCCCAAAAATAGCACTAGATATTTAGTTAATAAATTGGCCAAAAAAATCAACACTAAAGTATACTTTGACTGCCTTAAGTTTACACTAAATTTCAATTTAATTCCTTGAGTCTATAAAATGTATTATTAATTCTATTACCCTAATACCATTAATCTTATTTAACGAAAAATAGTGAATCAGCAAATTTAAACATTGATCCTGTAATTAAATCCTAATAAAATATATTTAAAATTTAAAATTTAAAACATTAAATGATTGTATTAAAAAATTAAAATTCAAAACATGCTTTGTTAGTATTTAGTTAAATTAGTTAAATAGTTACACAAATCACCACTTAAAGAATTTGATGTCTCCTCATTTTTGTCTCCTTTTGCTTTCTTCTGATCCTAGCCTTATTATTGAATCAACAATTGAAGGGTTGAAATTCAATAATTTACCTGGAAAAAAATTTAATAATTTATAAAGTTATGATTATAGTATAACATGACACAAAGTATAGATAAATAAATTTAATTTGAAGTATTAAAATCTAATCTAAATAGTTTAATACTATAAACTACCTGAAAATGAAAATATAAAAAAATAAAAATTTGTGAAATATTGAATCTTAGCTGTTTATTTTTTATCCAACTCTAAGGACGGGATGAGAAGACAAAAATATAGGAGAAAAAAAAAAGTAGAGGAGAAGATGCAAATTCCAATTCAAATTTGCTGAGGCAATATTTTTCATTAAATAAGGTCTAATGATATTAAAATTAGGAAAACAATTTTTTAAAAATGACTGTTAAATTTTAAAATTTTAAAATAATATTGATAACTATACTCATAAAAAACTATATTCAAAAAGTAAATGACAACACATTCTTATTAAGGGTGTTCAACTGTGTCCCGTCTCAGTGTCCCGTCTCTGTCTTAGTCATTTTAGAACGGGATGAAAGCCGGACTGGACAAAATTGTTTCGGGACCGGATAGGACGTGGGACGAGAGTGTCTTGTCCCCCAATATATTATTTTCTTTTTTAATTGTTATATATTTATTTTATTTATTATTGTAATATTATTTTGGTAATGATATTTATCAATTGTTATTTTTTAATTGTTTATAAGTTGTTTTTGTATGGATTACACGATATTCTCTATAGTGAATATTTTTATTTTTTGTCTCTCCTTATTACAAAAAACATTTTTCTTTATTATTGTTTCATTATTTTTATATATTTTCCTTGCAAAGTTTTTATTATAACTTTTTATATTTTCCGTATTGTTAATTTTCAAATTAAAAAAAATAAAAAAAGAGAATGTCCATGTCATGTCCCAGTTATATCATGTCCCAATTGGAGCGGGACGCTATTGGAACGAGACGGGACACGGGACGAAAAAGCCATCTCGTCCCAATTATCGGGACGAGACTAGTACGGGGTCGTCCCTGTCCTGTCCTGTCCTATGAACACTTTTAATTTTTATAATAATTTTTAATTTAAAATTTTAAAATTCAACTATTATTTTTTTAGAATTTTTTCTTAAAATTAAAAGGATTAGAAATGGGACTAAAGTGAAAGTTAGTGAGGACGATACATATATATAAAGAGAGATATATATATATATATTTATATAAAGAAGAGGGCTATTGCCGAGACAATGTATCAGAAACTGAGCGAGGGGTCAAAGTCCCATACAATCTGTCAAACACCTCAGGGGCATCAAAATCCAATTCACAGCATTAAAAAAAATGATGGATCACCAGGTATTTGATTTATGAAAACAGGTCACCGATAGAAATTTTTTTCTTTATCTGCATTTAGCGTGCTTTGAGTTGTTCTAAAACGAACGATCTGTGAGATTGGAAGTTACAGTGCGACGGAGCAGAAAAGGGGGAGGATTGGCAGCAGACTCCACGCTCGAATGATAGGCCAGTGCAAGATCTGCGATCTGCAGATTCTAACTCTAATTCAAGTAGTCACAAGCATGATAAAGACAAAGGCGTCAATGTGCAGATTCTAATATCTATTGCAGAGCAAATGGGAAGAACCAATCAATGGTTGAAGACACCAACATGTTTCAGAGGGAGAGATTAAGATTGCAAGATGCAGTGCACTCAAACCACTCAAGTTTAAAGCATTGAAAGATCTTCGCACCACCACCAATCAGGTTCTCCAACAAGACACAAATGAGAAGGCTCCCGCTCATCCATTTGATTTTTCTACTAGTCAGTGCAAGAATAACTATGTTCCAGAGGGAGAACCACAAAGCACGACAGAAGGCTCCTACAAGAAGTAAGACAAGACTCACCAACAAAACGCAAGTGCCGCCGTCGGTCGGCGGCAGTGACTCTGTGAGGTTGCCACCTGCGCCGGCGAGAAGAGAGAAGAAGAGAGCGATACTGCGACTTGTGAGAGCATGAGACGAGAGGCGGTGACAGACTGACCTGAGAGGACGAGACGAGAGGCTGTGAGAGAGTGACCTGCGAGGCGAGAGGGGAAGGCGAGAGGGAACTGGAAACTGCCCGACCTGAGCCCCTCCGATCAAAACTAAAAGGTAAATCGCTCGTTCACTTGGAAGGTTGAAAAAAACAAAGAAAGAAAGTAAATCGGTCGATATGCTTGACGAAGTAGTTCGGGTGGCGGGAAAAAAACAGAGGTGGGGAGATTAGGGCCTATATGGAATTTGAGGAGTGAGGGATTTTTTATTTTTTGGACAAAACGAAGCAAGGGACTTCAACCGTTCAGGGGGGAAAAAAAAGTGATTTTATTATTTTAATGACCCATGGTTTAAAAAGAGAGTAATCTTATGGAATGGGACTATAGAAGTATAATAGATAAGAGATATAGACCCAAAAAAAAAGAGATTGATATTATATTCTTTCACTTATCTCACAACACAAATTGCATGTTTTATTTATAGACATAGCTAAATAAAAAATAGAGGATAACCAATCACATAAGGAATAATAGAGTAGTGGATGAATAATGCATCGTAAAAATAATAGGAGTTGATAAAGTTAAACCACTTGATGATATTCATAACAAGTAATAAACTGATTAATATATTCTCATCGAGTTTTTTTAAAAAAAAATAGTTATAATACAATTTAGAAAACTTTTGTTTTGAAAATGTCAAAACTTTCATTTTAATAAAAAGCTTTTAACTCTACATAAGAATTCAGTTTGGTCTCTTAATTTTAAAAAAATATTTTTAGTTATTTAATGACTAAAATTATTAATAAAAAATGATACTATTAAGATTTTGAATATTGATCTCAACTACTACTATATTAAGTTTAATTTTTAAAATAATTATAATTATTACCAAAAAAACATTTAAAAGTGATGATTTTAGGATGATATAACTAACACTACAAAAAAATTGGCATGTTGCCGTTGAAAATCAAAAAGTCGCTGCTGAAAGTTTTCAGTGACAACAAAAAGTCGTCACCAAATCGTTGCCGTAATAGCTATCGCTAATAATTATCAGTGGCAACAACAAAAATTGCCGCTAAAACTAGAAATTGTTGCCACTAACATTTAAGTCGTCACCAAATATATGCTTTCAGTGGTGACAATAAGTCACCGCTGAATGCTACCTTCAGCAGCGACTATCAATGTCACCGCTGAATGTTTGCATATTTGAAGGAGTTACTTAGAGTTAATCACCATCAATCAACAAGTCATAATATTTGAAGGAGCAAAATGAATAGTTTATTCGAATTCATTTGTATATTTATACTATATTGATTCATATATCTAAGATATAACATTTTTTATTGCCTTTTCAAATTATTTTAAATGGGATCACGTGATTATGATCTCTTAATGACAACAAGAAATCAAGTTTAAATTTGTTCATTTGAAATTTGTACTCATCTAATTATATTATCCCCCTTAATTATATTATTTTCCACTCATCCTTCTCATGCAAATCTTCATCATCAAATATTATCACTTATTTAAGTACACTCACACTAATTTAACTATAATCATCTCTCCCTCATAAATTTAACTATGCTATCCCTTTCAATTATAATGCATTTCTCTCTCACACATCATCTCACTTTCAATTATATTTGAATTACATATTACATATCTCTCCCACACACTTTATCTATCACTACCTTCCCATCTTTCCTTGTCTCTCAAACTTACATCTCTCTCACGAATGCTTACACCCCATTCCTCACACATATCCTTAATTCTATCTTACATATATAATTATAACACATCTCTATCTCATACACACCCCACCCGTTCTACCTCCTCCTTTCTTTCTCACTCACTACATTATCTCTCTCACACTCTCCCCCTAACACAATAATACATTAAAAAAAACTTTAGTTATTTAGAGTTAATTGTATCAATAAAAACAATTATGATATGAATATAATAACCTTTAATAAAAATAATAAAAGAAATTTGAAAAACACTTTCAACGGTGACACAAGATAGTCGCCATTGAAAGTATGTTTCAGTGGTGACATTTTGTCGCCGTAGAAAGCACTTTCAGTGGCAACATTATTTATTGCTGCCAAATGTTGTATCTTTTAGCGGTGACCACATGCAGTCACCGCAGAAAGTCCAACATTCAGCGACGACTTTCATGTCGCTGCTAAAAAGTCTCACTTTCGGCGGTAACAATAAAAGCCGCCGCTGAAAGTCATACTTTCAGCGGCGACTTGTTTTGTTGCGCCAAAAGTGAAAGTGATTTTTTTTTGTAGTGTAAAAATAAACCTTTTAAAGTTAAATGACTGAATTTTTCAACTGGAAATTAATGAATTAAATTGAAAACTTATATAAAATTAAAAAACTTAATTTATAATTAAACCTAATTAAAAATGTGAAAATTCTCTGTTAATAAATTTTCAAGTCTTATATACTACTCCTCTTATTTGAAATGTAAGATCCATTTTATAATGTAATTATATATTTTTAAATTTAATACAATCGTTCGATATTTACTGAGTCAAATTCAATTATTATCCCTGATAAATATTTCGACATGCTTCATTCATACAAATTTTACATATGGTTTACTGTACATTTTTTATTAATGCATTGAAAAAATATTATTGGTTTCTTTGGCACAAAATAATCATTTGTTCAATTTTACATTTTTAAGTCGACGACGCAATACTGGGATATACCAGTACATTAGTACTACTAGCTTACATTAATTTCTGCATAAACCACTATAACTTGGTTTATGTCTTAGAAAATGGAGTAATTTTTCTTTTTGGCCAGATAGAAAAAGGAGTAAATTGAAGTTTTAACACCCACTACAATCACGTAAAGTTATAATTACTGAACTCTGAATCTGTCGCAAAATGGTTTTTATTATGAACTTAAACGGTAGTCAGCAAGGTCTGTGACTGAATCTCGTAACGAAAATTGAATTTTTGGGAGTCATCGGCAGACCAAATGAAGATGCCATGAAGTTTGCCGAGGCGTGAAAGTCGAGAACACGCTTCAAAAAAGCCATGCTCTGGTTTTAAGCCGCCACTTTCATCTGTACCAAAACTCACCAGCACCTTCCCTCCTCTGTAATTCCTCACTTGCCTCTCCAAGTGTCCCATAAATTCACCTACGGTCGTCCCTTTGGGATATGCATAGAACTGAAAGTTGACGTAGTCTATGAGATGCCCATACTCTCTCCACAAAGCCAGGTAATGAGATTGAACTGGTTCGTCATCGTACGGTGCTATAGAAACAAACGACACAGTCCTACTTTGTTTCAGGTAGTATATAAGCTTCCCTATGCACTCAGCAAACGTATCAGGATCTGCGTTGAAATGTTCGTAGTCAATGTCGATTCCGTCTAGGTGGTTGGACTGGACGAGTTGGGTAATAGAATGGATTGCGTTTCGGAGCCATGAATTAACCGAAGTGGGTTTAAAGAACACTTTTTGTTGAGCTATGGTGTCGCCTCCGAGGCTCAAAGCTACTTTAACGTTAGGGTGGGAGGACTTAATGGAAGAGACATGAGAAGGGCTGAGATTTCGTGTGTCCCAGTAGGGCTTAAAATCGCCATTGGTAGGGCTTGGAGGGGAGGTTGAGTTTGTGTAATCAATGGCGAACGAGAGAATGAAGTGGAATTCCACGGTGGGATTTATGGGCACGTCTGAGAACTTGACGTTCTTGCCTTCGGCTCCTATGTATTCTCTGAAGAGCTTTGGCTTTGGTGCTGAATGCCCCAACGTGATTCCGGCAAAGAGAAGCTGGAACATAACAAGGATAAAGGGGTTGAGTAAACTCATGGTTATTGGTGAATGAAGATTTGTGTTGCGTTTGGGGTTACTTATGCATGCAATAAGGGTCGACTTTGGGTTTCACCAACAAAGCCTTCTTGTCTTTTCGGCTTTCTTAGGTGTCGTTTTGATTCTGGGAGGATCATAGAACCGGCAGAGCCAACAAATATTAACTCTTCCGAAACTAGACGCTCATTTTGTCTCCTTTAAATGTTCCGTTGATTACGATGGAATCGTCATATAATGCAGATATCCACACGATTATAGTTGGCGTGCGTGAAGTAAAATATTCGCAGGCTAATCCATAACCATCGGCTCTGATCTGAATCCAATGCGAGACGGCGAATCTGGTTCATGAAGCCGAAGGATGCATTGTTCAATCACTTCGCATGAAGTGGGGTGATCCAAAATGAATAATGTGGAATCTCAATTCCTATGGTATCTCTGAACATCATTGCTTGCATCACAGATGCTAATTTGGTCCGCAGCGGGACGGCAACGGCCTAACATTTTGGATTCATGCTAGCCTCCTCTAGTTTTTTTTTTTTTTTCCCGTCTTGAATAATAGACAAAACTAAACTGTGGACAAGCAGCTTTATATATGTCACATATATATTAATATATAGTTCGCAGTAAAAAAAAGACCTTTGCTTGTGGTAGACACTAAAATTATTTGCTATATATATATATATATATTGAAAATATCCCCAGCTATATATAGTTAGATTCCTATAGCTGACAATCACCCGTGAGTCGTGCCCCATCGTCAGTTGTTCCAAATGGTATTTGCAGACAGCATCATGTTTGCCCCAACCACCCATCTTTATTTAATTTTCTCCTCCGATACCAAATAGAAGAAATTAAAATTTAAAAAGTATCGTCATAACTGAAAGGTGTAACTTGTTTCTTAAAATTTAAGAAGTTGACGCCTCCGTCTCCTTGAACTGGTCTCTATCAGTTCAGCCAGCATATATAGTTACAAGTAGAAATGATTCTTTTTTCAAGAAGGTCGTGATCCTGAAGTATTTAATTGGATTAACCTCCTGTTGGCTTAAAGAAAAAGGTCATGGAGGTTTATTAATTTTTCCTCTTTCCTTGCCGGTCTGACTAAGTCACGCTGTCACAGTTGATGAAAATGAGAAATATGCATTTTTTCCACTTGCTTGTCTTGCTCTCAACTCTCAAGCC